TCATTTTTGAATAGGGACTCATACAAAGAAATACTACTGTCCAATCAAAAATAATTAAGAGATAATTCTAATATACATTTTTAAAAGATTTTATTTTTCAGAGACAGTGAGCACAAACAGGGGGAAGGGCAGGCAGAGGGAGAAGCAGGCTCCCCACTGAGCAGGGAGCCCAGTGCAGGACTCCATCCCAAGACCCTGGAATCATGACCTGAGCCAAAGGCAGATGCTTAACTGACTTAGCCACCCAGGCACCCCAATTAAGAGATAATTCTTTTTTTTTTTTTTTAAAGATTTTATTTATTTATTTGACAGAGAGAGACACAGCAAGAGAGGGAACACAAGCAGGGGGAGTGGGAGAGGGAGAAGCAGGCTTCCTACCAAGCAGGGAGCCTGATGCGGGGCTCGATCCCAGGATGCTGGGATGACCTGAGCTGAAGGCAGACGCTTAACGACTGAGCCACCCAGGCACCCCAACTAAGAGATAATTCTAATCTTGACTGTAACTTGTAACATTTTAATTAATGCCATATATTTTTAATTTTGAGAACTCAAATTTACAGATATCTCAGACGTCAACAGAAAAATCGCAAATAAAATGCAAAAATTTTTTTCCCTCAATAAACCATTTGACAGTAAGTTGCCAGATTCCTTTAGTACGTTCTTCTATGAACCCACAATGCACCATCAAAAACAGGAATTTAGGGGCGCCTGGGTGACTCAGTCTTAAGTGTCGGGCTTTGGCTCAGGTCATGATCCCAGGGTCCTGGAATCAAGTCCTGCATCAGATTTCCTCCTCCACAGGGAGTCTGCTTTTCCCTCTGCATCCCCCCCCGCCCCCGCTTGTGCTCTTGTGCTCTCTCTCGCTCTCAAATAAATAAATAAATAAATAAATCTTTAAAAAAAAAAAAAGCCAGCTCATCTGATCATACCTATAATAGGGACAGCACCCCACTAATGAGTTACCCATGCTGAAAACCTTCAATTAGCTTTAACAATTTTTAAAAACAGCTTTACTGAGTGTAACTTATTTGTAATAAACTGCCAAGTATACAGTTTGATGAACTTTTTCCTAAGTAGATACCTGTGGAACCATCACCAAGATAAACATTTCCCTCACTTCCCAGAGTTTCCATATAATCCATTCCTCCTTCAACCCCTGAATTCAAGTAAGGACTGATCTGCTTTCTGTCTTTAGAGATTCATTTGCATTTTCTCTAATTTTAAATAAATTTAATCATACAATGTGTACTCTTTTTTTCATCTGGCTTATTTTACTCAGTATAAGGATTTTGAGATTCATCCATGTTTCATTTCTTTTTTTATTGGTGCGTAGTATTCCATAATATGGATGTATCATAATGTGTCTATTCATTTGCCTTCTGATGGGCTGTTCCCAGTTTTTTACTATTACAAATAAAGCTGCTATGAACATTTGTGTACAGGTATACAATTCTTTATAATATAACTATACTGGGAAGGTGGAAGAGAGAAAGCGTGGAGGGTGGTGTTATAAGAGAATGAAGTCCTTAACCAACATAAAAGGACATTAACGAATACTGTTTAAAATTGTTAAATGAAGAAATAGCTGTATAAGCATATTGCTCTATTTAAAAATAAGGAGATGGGCGCCTGGGTGGCTCAGTTGATTAAGCAGCTGGCTCTTGATTTCAGCTCTGGTCATGATGTCAGGGTCCTGGGATCAAGCCCAACATCAGGCTCCACTCTCAGCGTGGAGTCTGCTCCAGTTTCTCTCTCTCTTTCATTCTGCCTCTCCCCCTGCTTATGCGTGAGCACTCTCTTTCTCTCTTTCTCAAATAAATAAATAAAAATCCTTTAGGGGCGCCTGGGTGGCTCAGTTGTTAAGCGTCTGCCTTCGGCTCAGGTCATGATCCCAGAGTCCTGGGATCGAGCCCCGCATCGGGCTCCCTGCTCAGCGGGAAGCCTGCTTCTCCCTCTCCTGCTCCCCCTGCTTGTGTTCCCTCTCTAGCTGTCTCTCTCTCTGTGTCAAATAAATAAAATCTTAAAAAAAAAAATCCTTTAAAAAAATAAGGAGATATTTATAGTGCTAGAAGAGTTTTGAAAGTGGCTGCCTCTGGGAAATTATACTAGGGTATAACATAGAAATCAGTTCTTTTTTGGGGCACCTGACTGGCTCAGTCAGTAGATCATGTGACTCTTTTTTTCCCCTTTTTTCAAAATTTATTTATTTGAGAGAGAGAGAGTACAAGCAGGGGGAGTGGCAGGCAGAGAGAGAGAGGGAGAAGCAGGCTCCCTGCTGAGGAAGGAACCCGATTTGGGGCTCGATCCCGGGACCCTGGGATCATGACCTGTGCCGAAGGCAGACGCTTAACCAACTGAGCCACCCAGGTGTCCCAAGATTGTGTAACTCTGACCTCAGGGTGGTGAGTTCAAGCCCTACACTGAGCATAGAGCCTACTTAATTTTTTTTTAATTTTTTTAAAAAATTTATTTGTCAGAGAGAGAACACAGGCAGGGGGAATGGCAGGCAGAGGGAGAAGCAGGTCCCTGCTGAGCAAGGAGCCTGATTCGGGGCTTGATCCCAGGATTCTGGGATCATAACCCTAGCTGAAGGCAGACGCTTAACCAACTGAGCCACCCAGGCATCCCAAGCCTACTTAAAAAGAAAAAAAAGAAATAAGCTCTTTTTTTTTTTTTTTAAGATTTATTGATTTATTTTAGGGAGAGAGAGAGCGAGTAAGCACGAACAGGGGGAAGGGCAGAGGTAGAAGGAGAGGGTGAGAATCGCAAGCAGACTCCCCACTGAGTGTGGAGCTTGACGTGGGGCTCAATCTCACAACCCTAAGATCATGACCTGAGCTGAGATCATGTCGGATGCTTCACTGACTGAGCCACCCAGGTGCTCCAGCTCTTTTCTGATAGTAAGTTTTGTAATGCTCTTTGACATTTATTAACCAAATATAGGCATTACTTTGATAAATATAAAAGTTAATAACTTTTGAAAAGGGGTGGGGCACCTGGGTGGCTCAGTCAGTTAAGCCTTGATTTCGTCTCAGATCATGATCTCAGAGTCCTGGGATTGAGACCCGTGGTGGGCTCCGCACCTGATCGGTATGGAGTCTGCTTATCCCTCTCCCTCTGCTCCTCCCCCCCAAACCCCTTTTCTTAAAAAGCAATCAATCAATCATTAAAAGTAGGGGTTAGCCAGATGGGGAAGATAATAAAAAACCCCATGGACACATCATAAATGCTAAATTGCTATACAAATATGAGAGCTCATTTAATTTAAAACTTATAAATGCCATGAACTTCTAAAGAAGAGTTGTGTAAAACATTAACTACATATTTAAAAATAAACTCAGTGCAAATGCTTAACAAACCAGTGCAGTTTAAATGCTTAGTAATTTTTAAAAAAGATTTTATTCATTTATTTGACAGAGAGAAACACAGCGAGAGGGAACACAAGCAGGGGGAGTGGGAGAGGGAGAAGCAGGCTTCCCGCCAAGCAAGGAGCCCAATGTGGGGCTCGATCCCAGAACCCTGGGATCACGACCCGAGCCGAATAAAAAGCACTAGAGATATAAACCCTGATAACCCAGCAATTCCAATTCTAGGTGTGTCTTCTGGAGAAACATTACACATGTTCAAGGAGATACAGAAAAGTGTGTTCACCTATTCACTGAAACAGAAAATTGGAGACAACATGAAGGAAATGAATAAATAAAATGTGCCTAGTTGGATGGAATGCTGAGGAATGAAAGGGAGTGAATCAGATTTATGTGTATCATGGATAGCTCTTGAAAACAATAATGAATGAAAAAAGCAGGAGGCTGAGTGATATTTACAATGTTACCTTTTCTATAATTAAAAACAACACTAAAGATTTTTCTGTGGATACATACATGTATCCATAGAAAAGTATAAATGTTTGCAGTGCTACCCACCAAATAGGAAATAATGGCCACTATTGGAGCCAAGAGGAAGACACTGAGTTTGGGGGTCAAAGTCAAGGGGACTTTCAGTTTTCTCTGTAATTTTCTCTTTTATTTCTCTGCCTTGTCTTCTTCCTCATCTGTCTCCTTGGGCAATGTTCTTAGTCTACCGTGAGTAATAATAATAATAATAATAATAATAATAATAATAATAATAACAACAACAACAACAACAACAACAACAACAACAATAATAATAATAAACCAGAACAACGGAACAATATATAGAAGACTGAAGGTAGTGCAGTCTCCCTGAAAAACCTTATCCGGGGTTAATAATTTTAAAAGAAAAAATAATTACCTCCAGTTTCATCGGAGAAATTTGTACCCTTTATGCTGTCAAAACAACAGCAATACCATCTTTATGGTATAAAGATGGACACAATTACGTCAATAGTTCAAAAGAGTATGCATAACCCGACGTGACAAGGTGGCTTCCCTTATTATTTGATATATCCTTTTACTTGCCCTACTTGGCACTTAATACCATGCAGTCAAAACTATGCACTCAAAGTAAACATACTCTATATGTCACTGCAACTGATGTAAAAAAAAAAGTCAAAGCTAAACCAATCCACGAAAACAATGCAAATGACGTATGAGATTATCATCACTACAAACCAGCAAAATACTGGTACCCTGCGACAGCTGAGCACTCCAACCAGCTGCCCGCGAGGACGAAGTCCATGGGAAGAAACTCCTCTTTAGCTCAATTAAGGGTTAAAAGTCGCAATCTCGGATCCCGAAAGAGTGTATTTCGAGGTAGGACGCTCGCCAAAATAACATTCCGTCTGGGAGAAATGTAATCAATTACTTCCTTTCCTGTATTTTTCAAATTTCCAGTTTTGAAAAAGGGTTAGCCTGGGGCATCAAAAATCTAGGGTTTTAATTCTGCGACCAACGGGCTTTAGTCATGTTCTCATCCGTGAAACTGGGCGTGAGAAGTTCGAATCTCCAAAATTCCCGCTAGTTTGAAATCCCACGGTGAAACCAATCCCGCCTCCTGCAGTTTCGCCCGAGAAGTATTTTGACCCTCTCTGTTCACCGTCCGCGCAGCCTCCCGAAGCAATCGTAAGCTCCGCCCCCTGCGCTCCGGACGGCGCGAAAACCCAATTGACAAGAACTCTCTCCGAAGCCCGCGGGTCTGATCTGCGTTGGGCCCGCTTTCCCAGCCGGGGTCACAGTCCCCGGCGCTCAGCCTGGGGCGCCCGCGTCGGGAGCACCCCGCGCTCGCCGGCCGCATCCCAGAGTCCTCGCTGCCCGCGCTTTCTTACCGCCTCTTCCCGCGTCCGACTCGGCTGAGCTGGGCCCAGCCTCCGCGACCGTTCCATCCCGGTGGGCGCGGGGGAGTCGGAGACGGACCCCGCGGCCCGGCTGCTCCCTCGGCGGGAGCCGGCCGCCTCCATGGCCTCCAGGCTGGCGGGGCTCGGCCGCACAACGCCCTAGGAGCCGGCATTCCGGGAAGCTGGGAGCATGGTGGGGGTCCTGGCCATGGCGGCGGCAGCTGCTCCCCCTCCGGTGAAGGACTACGAGATTGAGGTGAGCTAGTGCATCTCGGTCTGTACGAGGTGGGTAAAAGGTAATTCCGACTTTGGCTCTAGGAAGGGAAAGGAGAGACCTGCTGAGGCCCCGCAGTTGTGACATTGTGTGCAACAATTGCTGGAATGTGTCGCTTCCTAACGTCGTGATAGGTATTAACAAACATTGAGATTGTGAGATGTTTGCGGGCCAGGAAAGTCAGGATTGAAAAGATACCTCGACCAGTTCCCAGATACTGAAATGTTGGTGGAACCTGATGTTTTGGACTTGTGAAGTGTCACAGAGGATCCCAGGATCAAGTGTGGGTTCATAGTAAGGAATCAGAACTTCAGCTTGAAAAGACTCTTTAAGTTCAACTAGTCTGTCCACCTACCTGTTCTAGGACTACCGCTTAGATTGTCACTACAGGAGTCAAAGTAATTTTATTTAAAAAGCCAGTTTCTCGGGGCGCCTGGGTGGCTCAGTCGTTAAGCGTCTGCCTTGGGCTCAGGTCATGATCCCAGGGATCGAGCCCCACATCAGGCTTCCTCCTCGGCGGGAAGCCTGCTCCTCTCTCTCCCAGTCCCCCTGCTTGTGTTCCTGCTCTCGCTGTCTCTCTCTCTCTCTCAAATAAATAAATAAAATCTTTAAAAAAAAAAATCAGTTTCCCATGGCTCTAGAGCTTAAGATACTGCAGTTAGTAGTCCCGGCATGGAATGCTGTTATTCTTTTTTTTTTAAAGATTTTATTTTATTTATTTATTTGAGAGAGAGAGAATGAGAGACAGAGAGCATGAGAGGGAGGAGGGTCAGAGGGAGAAGCAGACTCCCTGCCGAGCAGGGAGCCCGATGCGGGACTCGATCCTGGGACTCCAGGATCATGACCTGAGCCAAGGCAGTCGCTTAACCAACTGAGCCCCCCAGGCGCCCCGAGGAATGCTGTTATTCTTATGTATTCACCAAGTTTCAGTGAAATGCACTGAGCAGTCGTTACAAAGATACTTTAATGCCATGAACTAATGGAGTAGCATCTCAAAGTGATGGTTGCTACATTTTTACACCTTTTCATCTCAAGCTAGCATTCTAACTGAAATACACATACTCGTGTCCTTGAAGTGAGCCAAAATGTACCTTCACTTATTTAACTAGGACTCTTTCTTATTTTTTAGAATTGAATAACTTTTGTCTACTTGCTAATAGTTGTTATGCTGATATTTGTTTGCTAAATCAAGGCAGTTGCTCAGCTTTCTTGGGTGTGAAGAAGGACTTTTGGTACTTGAATTAGACAGTTCTTGATTTTTGTATGGTCAGTTTATCAAGCTTTACCTTAGAGTTTCTGCTTTTGGTGCCCTGCTTACCTTATTTCATAGTAATGATACTTTCCTTTTAGTATTCCAAGGTAAGGGCCTTGTATACATTATTTTGCTTAATATCAACCCTGTGCTGAGGTATCATTATCTGTATCCATACGGATGACGGAAGAAGGTAAAAAAAAATAAAGTGGGGTGCCTGGGTGGCTCAGTCTGTTAGGTGTCTGTCCTCAGCTCAGGTCATGATCCTGGGGTCCTGGGATAGAGCCCCACATCGGGCTTCCTGCTCAGTGGGGAGCCTGCTTCTCCCTCTGCCTCTACTTCTCCCTGCACCCTCCCCCCCCACTCATGTTCTCTCTCTGTCTCTCTCAAATAAAATCTTAAAAAAAAAAAAGTAATTAAAAGTAAGTTAAATTAAGTTAGAAAAAGTAAATTAGAAGGGTGCCTGGGTGGCTCAGTCGGTTAAGCATCTGCCTTCGGCTCAGGTAATGATCTCAGGGTCCTGGGATCAGGCCCCACATCGGGCTCCCTGCTCAGAGGAGAGCCTGCTTCTCCCTCTCCCTCTGCCTGCTGCTCCTCCTGCTTATACTTTCTCTTTCCGTCAAATAAATAAATAAAATCTTTAAAAATAAAAGAAAAAGTAAATTAGAAAGTTAAAAGTGGGCACCTGGGTGGCTCAGTTGGTTAAGCGTCCAACTCTTGATCTCAGCTCAGGTCTTGATCTCAGGGTTGTGAGTTTAAGCCCTGCATTGGGCTCCACACTGTGGAACCTACTTTAAAAAAATTTTTTTGGGGGGGCGCCTGGGTGGCTCAGTCGTTAAGCATCTGCCTTCAGCTCAGGTCATGATCCCGGGGTCCTGGGATCGAGCCCTGCATCGGGCTCCCTGCTCCTTGGGAAGCCTGCTTCTCCCTCTCCCACTCCCCCTGCTTGTGTTCCCTCTCTCGCTGTGTCTCTCTCTGTCAAATAAATAAAATCTTTAAAAAATAAAATAAAATAAATTTTTTTTTAAAGTTAAAAGTAATATGCTTAGGGTCCCATACTAGTAGATGTCAGAGCCAGCACTTGAACTTAGATCTGCCTGACTCCAGAGCCGGTAGTATCATGCTTTTGATACTATCTCAGGGTAATGATAATACTAACAGCTCATTAGCATTTTCTTCTAATGCTTTTACCATTTCATTTTAACATATAAAATTTTAATCTGTAATTTATTTTGCCTCATATTTATCCAACTGGTTAGAAATTTGTCCCAATACCATTTATTAATTACTTATTGGCTCACTAACTTGAATGCTACTGTTCTCATATACCAAGTTCTTAAATATTTACTTATTTCTTTTTCTGGTTTTCTAATCCATTCCATTCCATTGGCTACCTTATTCATGTATCAGTACTATGCCTTTTTTTTTTTTTTTTTTTTTTTTAAGTAATCTCTGCACCCAGTGTGGGGCTCAAACTCACAACCCCAAGATCAAGAGTTGTAAGCTCCACTGACTGAGCCAGCCAGGTGCCCCCAGTACTTTGTTTTTTTGTTTTTTTCTAAATATATTTTATATATATTTTAATATTTTATTGTCATGTTAATCACCATACATTACATCATTAGTTTTTGATGTAGTGTTCCATGATTCATTGTTTGTGCATAACACCCAGTGCTCCATGCAGAACGTGCCCTCCTTAATACCCATCACCAGGCTAACCCATCCTCCCACCCCCTCCCCTCTAGAACCCTCAGTTTGTCTTTCAGAGTCCATCGTCTCTCATGGTTCATCTCCCCCTCCGATTTACCCCCTCATTCTTCCCCTCCTGCTATCTTCTTTTTTTCCCCCCAGTACTTTGTTTTTAATGATGATGGCTTTGTGATCCTTTTAATTTTCCAGAAGTATATTTCCCCCATTCATTACTTATCTTTTTTTTTTTTTTTTTGAGATTTTATTTTTAAGTAATCTCTACACTCAACTTGGGGCTGGAATCCACAACCCTGAGATCAAGAGTCGCATGCTTTACTGACTGAGCCAACCAGACACCCCTCATTACTTACCTTTTTCTAAAAATTTCCTTTTCATTCTGGAAAGTTTATTTTAACAAATGAACCGAGGGAAGTTAAAATGAAAGAAAAGACTGATGGAGCTTTTGTAGCTAATAATTTTTTTCTATTATGTAAGTTACTAATTTATGACCAACAGAAATACAACTTTACAGTATTATATATATTTATAGTCAACTTGATATGTGAGGGTAATAACATAGGAGGCAGGCAGTAACTTTTAATAACAAAACACTGGAAAGTTTTGTTTTTTTTAATTTGTGGTAAGTGTCCTTCACCATAATTTTTACTTGATTAGTAAATTTGAGGATCATAGGTTTGTTCACTGTGTGTCTGTTTCTTAGAAATAGAATGATTTTTTTTAAAGATTTATTTGTTTATTTTAGAGAGAAGGAGAGAGTTCAGGATGGGGAAGGACTGAAGGAGAAGGAGAGAGAGAATCTCTTTGCTTTTTTAAAAAGGCAAAAAAGCACAGAGCCCAACGACCAGGGGCTTGATCCCCTGACCCTGAAATCATGACCTGAGCTGAAATCAAGAGATGGATGCTTAACTGACTGAGCCACCCCCAAGAATAATTTGTTTTTAACTAAAAAAGGAAAAAGGGAATGGAATTAATATTTGTAGAGTCCCCACCATGCATTTGACTTCACATATTTTTGTGCAATGTGTTTGTTACAAATTTTGTGGGGTGGGTGGTACTATTCAATGGTTATAGAGTAAACAGAGGCCAACAGAAATGAACACGATTTGTACATAAGTATAGTGGCCTTGAAACTTTTTATTTAAGTATATATAAAGTAAAATACACAAATTATAAGTGTATGGCCTGATGTGATGTTGAGATTTGAATGTAGATTTAATTTTAAAGCTCTTTCTTCAGGGCGCCTGGGTGGCTTAGTCGGTTAAGTGTCTGCCTTTGGCTCAGGTCATGATCCCAGGGTCCTGGGATGGAGCCCCTTGTCGGGCTTCTTGCTCAGCGGGGGGCCTGTTTCTCTCTCTGCCTGCCGTTCCCCCTGCTTGTGCTCTCTCTCTCTGACAAATTTTTTTAAAAAGCTCTTTTTTCTAATATATCAGGTTCATTACCTAAGGGAGCCTTCCTTTTTTTATCCAGTTAGGTAAAATATTAGATCTGTGTTTACAATTTATGTTTTGGATTATTTTATTTGAAATAACTGCTTTTTTTTTTCTCTTAAATTGATAGGCATGCAAAAAGCGAAGGAAAGATGATGACAGATCTTCCTGCAAAACGATTACAAAATATTTATCACCAATAGGGAAGACTGGAGACAGTGTTTTCTCTTCACCAAAATCCAGTAATATTCTGGATTATTTTAGAAAGACTTCCCCCACAAATGAGAAGATACAATCAGCAAAAGAGTGCAAGATAAAGTCATCTGCACCATTGCCTGCTGACAGTGGCAAAGACTGTAAAACACCTTTGGAAGTGTTCTCAAATCTAGAGTTTAAGAAGAGAGGAAAAAGAGTTAATTTATCTCATCGACTAAATAGTGTTAAAACTGAAAATGAATCTCCAATTAAAATTAGTAGTGATAGCAAAGAAGACACTAGTCTAAATAATGATTTTGTAGAAAGTAGTACTTCTGTTTTACTCTGCAAGAATCATGTGGAGGTACTTGCAGAAAGTATTCAAGATAAAAAACACTCAAGCACTATGACCTCCATAAAAAGCTCTAAGAAAGTGAATCCTAAACAAAGGATCACAAAAAATGATTGCAAAAAAATGAGAAAAAGGAAGTACAGGGATATAATAGATCTATCTGAAAGCATACCATTGGCTGAGGAGCTAAATCTCCATCAAAAAGATGGTAAAGATAGGGAACAGATAACCCCTTCCCTAACTAATGAGATCGAGAGTACTGCAAATGACTCCAGAGGTGGTATAACTAAAACAGCCCACTTAAATGATAGTACAATTACTGTCTCCTATGAGGAATTTTTAAAAAGTCACAAGGAAAATAAAGCAGAACACATACCAGACTCTACAATGTCTATTTGTATTCCCTCTGAAACTGTTGAAGATATGGTCAAAAGTGGTTGTATAAGTGACCCAGGAACCTGTGAAATTTCCCAACATGTACGCTATAAGACAGTTACTGTTCTTGCACAAGTTCACCCTATTCCCCCCAGAAAGACAAGGAAAATACCCTCCATTTTCTTGAAACAGAAGCAGTTGGAAATGGAAAATAGTTTGTCTGATCCTGAGAATGAGCAGACTGTTCAGAAAAGAAAATCTAACGTTGTCATACAGGAGGAAGAGTTAGAATTGGCAGTGCTGGAAGCTGGAAATGCTGAGGCTGTGAAACCGAAATGCACCCTAGAAGAAAGACAGCAGTTTATGAAAGCATTTAGGCAGCCGGCATCTGATGCACTTAAAAATGGAGTCAGAAAGTCTTCTGAGAAGCAGAAAGAGCTCAATGAAAAATCTTTAAACGAGGAAGGAAGACACAATAATTCTAAAAAAATCACGGAAAATCCTAACATTCAGGTGGTTTCACATGATGGCAGTTCACCGTCACACACTGAGAAAGGAAAATTTCCTAACGAGAAAAGTAAAAAGCTGAAGAAAAAGGATAAGAAAATGTTAGGTACTGGTACTACCCCAGGTGAAAATAGACAGGGAAATATTCAAAAGAAAGCAGCAACTTTTTCCTTTAGAGATAAACAGAATCCAAATAGACTTAGAATGAGTTTAAGACAAAAGAAAACAGAAGTTTTCAAAAACAGCACATTATTTAACAGTGAAAGTCTTATTTGTAAAGATTTAGTAAATGATGACCCTGTAAAGATTTCCTCTCCGTGTAACAAGAAGTCTTCAAGAAAAACCAGCATACCAGTTAAGGATAAGGTGATACATTCTAAAGCTGAAACTGAAGACAGTTTGGTAAATGTTTCCATACCCAAGCCAACCAGAAGATCTGTAAGAACCAGCAGCACACCTACTACAATAGTCCTTAGCGGTACCGATTCTGAAGATGGCAGTCCAGCAAAGGCTTCCACTCCAAAAGCAGCCAACTTACTAGAAAAGCATAGTTTATATACAGCAGAATTAATAACAGTACTTTCTGACTCAGAGAGCCCTATTAGGTAAAGTTTTGTTTTTGTTCTGAAGCTCTGAGTATTCTGCATATATTATTAGCTGGGAAGGAAAATACTTCGAGGATTGGAGAGTGTTATTTTTTCTACAACACAGCTGATTTATAAGAAAACAGTTTCAAAAATGCTGTTTATTTTCCACATTTAATTTAAAGCCAGGCATGATTTTAGAAGAATTTTAGAAGTATTTTAGATGAGTTCAAACTCTTATCACGGTTATTAATTCCCTGGAGAAATATTTTTCAAATAGAATTTTAGGGGCACTTGGGTGGCTCAGTGGGTTAGCCTCTGCCTTCGGCTCTGGTCGTGATCCCAGGGTCCTGGGATCAAGCCCCACGTTGGGCTTCCCACTTGGCGGGGAGTCTGCTTCTCCCTCTTCCTCTGCCGTTCCCCCTACTTGTGCTCTCTTTCTCTGTCAAATAAATAAAATCTTAAAAAATGTATATATATATATGAATTCTGTGCATCTAACAAACATGAGATTAAAAATAAGTAAGAGTTTTATTTCTTGGGTAAACGGAGCCATATATTTGAGGTATATACTTGCATGCTGGTTTTGGCCAATGGAAGAGTGATCTTAGGAGGTAATTTTCTGTAAAGCTTATGATTTCTAAAAGGAAGCATTTTATGTTTTCTGAGAGTTCAGCTTTGAGTTTGGCTTACTTTGGATCAGTAGTTTGAATCTAACTGGAGTATTTTTTTTTTTTAAGAATGTCCAGAAATTGGAGCCCTGGTTGGTTCTTTTCTATATTTAATTGAAATTCTTACACATAATCATGGAAGTGCTTCTGAATGTCTTTTTTTTTTTTCCAGAATGAAATTCACCAGAATTAGTACTCCTAAGAAATCCAAGAAAAAATCTAAGAGAAGATGTGAGAAATCTGAAGCAACTGATGGAGATTTTACTTCTCAGACTAGAAAGGTAATTGAAATATTAGGGGATTGTGTAAGTGGTATTCTGTTTCCTAAAACAGCAACTACTTTTAGAAGTAGTATGCCAAAAGAAGATACACATATTTTATAGATTGGTTATGTTAACTACAGCCATATACGTTACTCACTATTATTCTATTCCTCTGATTAGTTTATTGATCAGTCAACATATCTTACAGTGAGATGGAAGCAATTAATAAGGACAGTATAATTTACTTAGAAAAAGTTTTCTTGGGGATGCCTGGGTGGCTCAGTCAGTTAAGTGTTCAACCCTTGGTTTCAGCTCAGGTCTTGATCTCAGTATTGTGAGATTGAGCCCTGTGTCGGGCTCCACACTCAGCCCTGAGTCCACTTGTCCCTCTCCCTTTGCACCTCCCCATGTTTGCATGTATGCATGCTCTCTCTCTCTAAAATAAATAAACAAAATCTTTAAAAGAGGAAAAAAAAGGTTTTTTGGTAAGAGTTACATTCTAATCATTTTCCTTAAGGCTGCTTATAGGTCATGATTGAATTTTTGGTTTATTTCTATAGATCAGAGGCTAAAAAGTGGAGTCTGTAACTCTGGTACAGGTCTAAAAACCCTGGTACTGTTGACATTTTGGGCTGGATAATTCTTTGTTATAGGGGACTGATTGTGCATTGTAGGATGTTCAGCAATAACCTGGGCCTCTACCCATGGAAATGCCAGTAGCTCTCCAGCTCCCCTGGTTATGATAACCAAAAATGTCTCCACACATAACAAATATCCCTGGAGGGAAAGAAAGCCACCCTCTCACCCTGCCCTATTGAAAACCACTACCCTAAAGGGAGAGGTAGGATGCTATGTAAGAATAATTTAGCTGCTTTTACAAACTAATCTGCTTTTCTCCACTGTGAGAGAATTGAATTCTCTCCAGGGTGAGTAGGTACACGTATGTGTATGTTGAAAAGCCCCCAATGTGACTGTGACATAATCCTTGGGTGAATACCACTGCGACAGAAGATTGGTGTCTCTTTTTTTGTTATTTAACAGCTATCATGTTTTTTGACTGTGTATCACATTCCAGGCACTATGCTTAATACTTACCATTAATCTCATAAATATTTAACCCTGTTTTGAAGGAACAGTGGAGCCAAAGGAGGTGAGAACATTTTTAAGAGTAGTTGAAGTGGTGTACAGTGGGATCCAAGCTGCGTGGGGTGGAGTAGAGGCTGGTAAACAGGGAGAAAGTAAAGAGTGCTATCAAGAGAGGTTTCTGATGTAGTCAGGAGTAATCAAGTAAGGCTGGGAGGATAGGTGACTAGGTCAGAAAGTAGGGTGTTGAAAATGACTAAATTTTCAAGGTGATAGGATTATGGTTGGTTTTAGTTTTCTTTATTTTTCTGTTTTGTTTTTTTATAAACATGAACTTTTTAAAATTTTTATCAGAAAAAAATAACTGGGGTGCCTGGGTGGCTCAGTCAGTTAAGCGTCCAACTCTTGGTTTTAGCTCAGGTCATGATCTTAGGGTTGAGAGATTAAGCCCTGGGTGGGGCTCTGTGCTAAACATGAAGTCTGCTCGAATTTCTCTCTCCCTCTCCCTCCCCCCCCGCCACTTACTTGCGCTCTCTCTTGAATAAATAAATAAAACCTTTTTAAAAAAACAACTATTAGAAAAAAAGTTTTCAAGTAATAGCAGAATTACTTGCCAAAATGTGTATGTGTATGGTTTTTTCCCACACCTTCACTAAAACATCTTTTTGTGTAACAGTTTCTTTCAATAATTGAGTTGTTAATTTAAGTTTAGGTCAATTAATTTGTAAGAATTTATAAGATTTGATCAGTCTGCCAAAAATTTTGCTAGCAGAACAACAAATCTATTGCTGTACTGTACGGAAGCAAATCTTTATGTTTTCCCAACCCTTTTACATATATTTTGGATATCCATGCCTATGCTTTTCGGTACTTTTTAAAAAACAGCAAACATTGGTTAAAAAAACCAGAAATGCATAAAATTAAAAGTGAAAACTTTTCATCTTCTACTCTCTAGCGGTAACCCACTTTATTTTTTTTAAAGATTTTATTTATATATTTGAGAGAGAGTGAGCGAGCTTGAGCAGGAGTAAGGGCAGAGGGAGAGGGACAAGCAGACTGAGCTGAATGCAGAGCCTGACTTGGGCTCTATCTCGACCCTGAGATCATGACCTGAGCTGAAATTAAGAGTCAGACGCTTAACCTACTGAGCCACCCAGGTGCCCCTGGATTTTTTTTTTAAGGTTTTATTTATTTATTTGAGAGAAAAAGAGAGCACAGAGGGAGAGGGAGAAGCAGACCCCTGCTGAGCAGGGAGCCCGATGCAGGACTTGATCCCAGCACCCTGGGATCATGACCCGAGCCGAAGGCAGACGCTTAACTGACTAAGCCACCCAGGCGCCCCCGGTGCTCCTGGATGTTTTTAATCTAAACATATAAGCCTATAGAATTCAGAATATGGAAAGCACATTGTCTGGAAGATAATATTTAAATGTGCAAGATCACTTAGTACATCAATGGCAAAGTCAGGCCTAAAGGCCAGACTTTATTACCTAGTGCTCTTTTCCATTATTAGTACCTTTTCAGCCTCTCTCCAATGGATTCATCTTAAACGTGACTAAAATCAAAGAACAGATGCCATGAAGGTGGTGGTGGGGAAATAACCAACAATTCTTTCTAATCCATGTGGACATCTAATATAGACATCTCTCTTGGTGTTTTTCACAAATGTAATTATATTTATCTGAATAAATTTCCAGTTAGAAATAAAGGCAAACCAAGTATAACTAGACACATTGTAATTTAATTTCCTTGCTAAGATTTGAGTAACTGTTTCTTTGTCTTTTATTTAGCATGATTTGTGATTATAGTCTTCTCTTATATATATTTTTTAATGGACTTTATTTTCTTTAGATTGATTTTTTTTTTTTTTTAATTTGACAGAGAGAGACACAGCAACAGAGGGAACACAAGCAGGGGGAGTGGGAGAGGGAGAAACAAGCCTCCTGTGGAGTAGGGAGCCCAATGCGGGGCTCAATCCCAGGACCCTGGGATCATGACCTGAGCCGAAGGCAGACGCTTAACGACTGAGCCACCCAGGCGCCCCTGAACTTTATTTTTTAGAACAGTTTTAGCTTGGGGCGCCTGGGTGGCTCAGTCCTTAAGCGTCTGCCTTCGGCTTAGGTCATGATCCCAGGGTCCTGGGATCGAGACCCGCATCAGGCTCCCTGTTTGGTAGGAAGCCTGCTTCTCCCTCTCCCACTCCCCCTGCTTGTGTTCCCTCTCTCGCTGTGTCACTCTCTCTCTCTCTCTCTCTCTCTCGGCAAATAAATAAATAAAATCTTTAAAAAAAAAAAAAAAGAACAGTTTGAGCTTCACAGCAAAACTGAGTGGAGGATACCAAGATTTCCCATATACCTCCTGCCCCCACACTGCGTAGCCTCCCACATTATCAATACCAGAGTAGTACATTTGTTACAATTGATAAACCTGCATTGTCAGATCATTATCACCCAGAGTCTGTAGTTTACATTAGGGTTCACTCTTGGTCTTGTATATTCTGTGGGTTTAGATGTATCATGGCATGTATTCACCATTAGCGTATCATCCATATAGTACGATATCACTGACTTAAACATGCTCTATGCTGTGCCTGTTCATCCCTTCTTCCCCACTTAACTCCTGGCAACCACTGACCTTTTTTATTGTCTCCAAGGTTTTGCCTTTTCTAATTTTTTTTATTATTAAATATGAAATGTTTGCCACTGACCTAAATTAATATTTCATATTTTTTTGTTTAGGCAAGCAGTGCTTCCAAAAATGTATCTAAAGCAAAACAATTGATTGAAAAAGCAAAAGCTTTACACATTAGTAGGTCAAAAGCTACTGAAGAAATAGTGACACCCTTGAGACGTTCATCTAGACATCAGACACTTCCTGAAAGGAAGCAATCGTCAGAAACAGAAGTAAGTATTAGAAATATTTATTGGTATGAGTTCTGTCCTATTCTGCTGCTTGGAGTGGGAGAAGGAAACCATTATAAAGTTATAAGGTAGAATTGTAAGATACCCTTGAGGTGGTAGAAAGAATATTTTCAGTTCTGTTTTAGAAGCTTTTGGTTCTTTTGCCTGTAGAATAATACAGTTTGAATCCTTATTAAGTCATTCGAGATCCTTTATAGGCTGAATTAGCTCTTCCCTTTCCTCAAAACAACCACCTTCCTCATACACTATTTGCTCTAGTCACACTAAATTATTTATTTCTCCCCAAATGGTGCAATTTTTACTTTTTCCACTTTGTAGTCTCAGCTTGAAATGCATATTCCAAGTATTCTCTTTTACCTGAGGAATTCCTACTCAAACATTAAGTCCTGCTAAATACTAACACTTCCTCTTTTTTAAAAACCAGCTTTATTATATATACATATTTTTTAATTTATTCATGAGAGTCACAGAGAGAGAGAGAGGCAGAGGGAGAAGCAGGCTCCCCGCTGAGCAGGGAGCCCGATGTGGGACTTGATCCCAGGACCCTGGGATCATGACCTGAGCTGAAGGCAGACGCTTAACCATCTGAGCCACCCAGGCGCCCCCTAAAAACCCCTCTTTATTATAGAGATATAAGTCACATACCATACAATTCACTATTTAAAGTGTACAATTCATTGGCTTTTTTTTTTTCTTTCAAAGATTTTATTTATTTATTTGAGACAGAGAGAATGAGAGACAGAGAGCATGAGAGGGAGGAGGGTCAGAGGGAGAAGCAGACCCCCCGCTGAGCAGGGAGCCCGATGCGGGACTCGATCCCGGGACTCCAGGATCATGACCTGAGCCGAAGGCAGTCGCTTAACCAACTGAGCCACCCAGGCGCCCCATTGGCTTTTAATATAGTCACAGTTGTGCATCCATCACCACAGTTTTAGAACATTTCATTACCTCAAAAAGAACCTCCATTCCCCTTAGCTGTCACTTCCTAATCTCTCCTCCCCCAGCCGCAGCCAACCACTAATCTACTTCCTGTCTCTATAGATTTGCCTATTCTGAACATTTCATATAAATGGTATCATACATACAAGATACAGTCCTTTGTGTCTGGCTTCACTCATCATAATGTTCTCAAGGTTCATCCATGTGGTAGCATCAATATTTCATTTCTTTTTATTGCCAAATACCCCATTGTATGGATATATATCACATTTTATTTACCTATTTCCTATTGATGGACATTTAGGTTGTTTCTGCTTTTTGGCTATTAGGAATAATGCCTCCACTTGAAAGCTTTACTGATGCCTTCAAGGCAAGTAGACTTACATGGTTTTTTGTATTTTGGTCAATACTGCTCTCACCATACTGTTTCAGAACTACCTACTTATAGACTAGCTCTCCTTCTGTCCCCTAAGCCCTGGTGTAATCTTGAAGCCAACTCTTGTTTCATCTGTCTGTGTACTGCTGTATTGCCTGACATAGAATAGATGCTCAGTAAATGTATGCTGACCACATGGAAACGGATCAGACTTCATCTAATACATTTATAGGATGTATAGCTTTCAAAGAGTATAGCTAAAATTTTTATAGTTTGGTCATATTGATTCTTTTGTCTGGAATAAAGTCTGTTGGTTGCTTCTTTAAAAAAGAAGACCCATGGGCGCCTGGGTGGCTCAGTCATTAAGCATCTGCCTTCGGCTCAGGTCATGATCCCAGGGTCCTGGGATCGAGTCCCACATCGGGCTCCCTGCTCGGCAAGAAGCCTGCTTCTCCCTCTCCCATTCCCCTTGCTTGTGTTACTGCTCTCGCTATCTCTCTCTCTGTCAAATAAATAAATAAAATCTTTAAAAAAAAAAAAAAAAGAAGACCCATGGTCATAATAAATCCACTCTTTGATATGTGAACTTGTATGATGTAGTGTAGGCTATTGTCACTATATGTTTTCTGTATTAGTCAGGTGGTGTCTGATGGAGAGAGGTATGGAGCTCCTAATGTCATTATCTTACCTATGGCTTCTAGCATCATAATCCTTTTGATTTTTTTTTTTTTTTAAGATTTTATTTATTTATTTGAGAGAGAGAGAATGAGAGAGAGCACATGAGAGGGGGGAGGGTCAGAGGGAGAAGCAGACTCCCTGCCGAGCAGGGAGCCCGATGCGGGACTCGATCCCGGGACTCCAGGATCATGACATGAGCCGAAGGCAGTCGCTTAACCAACTGAGCCACTCAGGCGCCCCTCCTTTTGATATTTTAAAACATCAATTGCATGACATTTTTAAAATGTTTTTCTTATTCTGTCTTAGGACTCTGTAATAATAATCGATTCAAATCGTACTTCTTTAAAGCATCCTGAGAAAAATCAGAAGAAACTTCAGTGTCTGAATGATGTGCTAGGAAAAAAACTAAACAAGACTCCTAAAAATGTACCTGGTAATCAAATTTGATAATGTTTATGATGAACATTAGAATGTTTTAGAGGGATTATATTGCTCTGAATGCTGTCATTTTAATTTAATTCCTTGTCTTCTACAGTGTACACTTAATTATATTAAGTGTTCTTATTTTAATAAGTAAAGTTAGAAGATAGTGAAGAGTTTTATAAAGGTAATTGAGTACCTTCAGGTTATTTCATTTCTACCTATCTATTTAGCCTCAGTTAGGTTTAGAGGTTCCCAAACCTGATGGATCATCAAAATCACCAGAGTAAGTTAAAAAATTTCTTAAATCTTTAGGCCTTTCCCTAGGCATATTGACTTAAGAATCTCTGGAGGTGGGTTGTGGGAATCTGTAGTTTAAAAAAAAGTTGCCAGGAGATTCTGATAATGATACTGGGAGACCAGATCATTATATAGAAATTTTTTAAATTAAAAAGTTAGTTTTTTTAAGGTTAAAAAAAGTTAAATGGGTTAATTTTTTTTAAGTTTAAGGAGGTAGAGGTATAATTTGAAAGCAACTGGAAGTAAGTAGAGATTATAAACATTGACACTAACCTAAGTATTTATTTTTCTAAGGGAAAATGAAAGTTGCTCCTTTATTTCTTACCAGAAAGGCTCAAAAAACAGCTGATCCTATTCTTGGTTTTGATGAAAGCAGGTCAGTCCAATACAAATTTTTAAATGCCGAAGTATCTTACAGAATGTTTTTTGTATTTTTTCCTTTACTTTGATGAGAAAGCATGTACGTTATCATTTGAGGCTTTACTAAATGCATTTTTAAAGATGACGATATTGACAGTGCTACAACTGCAATTTGAAGATCAGACACTTTGTGGCCCATTTCTAGATGAAACCGTGGAGAAATAAACAAACCAAAATCACTGAAGAACTGATTATGAACTTATTCAGTAAATATTTAAATACCTGCTATGGAGTGCCTGGCTGGCTCAGTCGAGGAGCGTGCAACTCTTGATCTCAAAGTCATGAGTTTGAGCCCCACACTGGGGGTTTAAAAAAAAATAAGTGAAAATAAATGAATAAAATAAAATCTTTAAATACCTACTATGTACCAGGCAATGTATTTGGCACTGGGAATATTATGGGAACAAAACAAGACACATTCTCTGTCCTCATGAGGCTTATACTCTAGAGGAAAGATAATCTATGATTAAACGTTAATTGGGCCAACAAATGAAAAATTGCAGTTGTATTAAGGAGAGGTACCAAGTTCTACTAAAGTTTGTATTAAGTGGATTTGGTCTGGTCAAGCAAGGCTTTGCTGAGGAAATGTCACCTGAACTGAAGGATGAGCAGGAGTTCATTGGGGTGGAACAGTGTTCTAACCAGAGGGAATAGTCTGCAGAGTCCCTGTAGCTGAAAGGAGCATGGCAAATAGAGAAGGTTGAAAGAATGCCTGTGTGACTTGAGCACAGAGAGCAGAGGGGAGAGAAATGTAGGATTAAACTGGAGAGGTGGATGCCAGCCCACGTAGCACCTTTGGACCATGTGCAAGAATTTTGTCATTACACCAAGGGCAATAAGAAGCAGTCAGAGGGTTTTAAACACAGGTATGGACATAAACATTTGGAATTTTGGAAAGTTTATTCTGACTGCTGGATCAGTTTGCTAGATCAAAATCCATAATGATTAATTAGATCTGGGGGCTGGGGCTGGGAGAGAGGAAGGTGTGAGGATGACACTTTAGTTCTGGTATCCCTGTGCAAGTGTATGGCATGATGGCAGAAGACCAGGTTTAGGGACATCATGGTTCAGGTTATTTTTTCCTCTTCCACTTTTATTGAGGTATAATTACATATTGTTAAATGCACAAATCTTTGTTGTATTGAAGTATAATTGACATACAATATCCTGTTAGTTTGAGATGTACATAATAGTGATTCGATACTTTTATACGTTACAAAAAGATCCCCATGATAAGTTACCATCTGTCACTGTACAGAAAGTTGCTGCAGTTGATGACTGTACTTCCTGTGCTGTACATTTCATCCCCGTGACTTAACTGGTTTATGACTCGAAGTTTGTACCTGTTAATCCCCTTCCCCTATTTTGTCTGCCCCCTCCCCTTCCCCACTCTGGTAGCCAACACTTCGTTTCCTGTGTCATCAGTCTGTTTCTGTTTTGTTGGTTCACTGGCTTTGTTAAATGCATCATTCTTCAGCATAACGGTTTTCAAAAGTACATTAAATCAAGATTTAACCTATTTCTTTTACTCCTGAAAGGTTACTCTTTTTCTGTTACTCCCATCCTACCACAACAAAAGGTTACCACTATCCTGATTTCATCACCATTGATTAGTTTCATTTCTGTCACCATGGATTAGTTTTGTCAGTTTCAGAACTTCATGTAAACTTTATATATGTATTCTTTTATATCTAATTGCTTTTGCTCAGTACACACGCTTTTTTAAAAATCAACTTTATTCAGGTATAATGTACATACAATCATATGCATACAATATCAAGTAAACAGTTTGAGGTTTAACAAATGCACACATCTGTGTAATCTCCCCAACAATAAAGAGAAAGCATTTTCATCACACTCAAAAAAGTTCCTTTGTGCCTCTTTGCAGTTAATCCCTGCCCCCAACTCCCGTGCAATTTCTGATCTGTTTTCTGTTGATTTAGATTGGTTTGCCTTTTCTAGAATTTCATAGAAATGAAATCATACAGGAGGTACACTTTTGTCTCTGGCTTCTTTCAGTCAGGGTAATGTATCAGTAGTCTGTTCTTTTTTATTGCTGAATAGTATTCCTTATATGAATATACCACAGTTTGTTTATCCATTCTTTTATTGATGGTCATTTGGGTTGTTTCCAGTATTTGGCTATTATTAATTAGGCTGCTGTGAACATTCCATACACGTGTGTAAACAGTGTTCTCATTTCTCTTGAGTAAATACCTAGAAATGGAATTGCTCTGTCACTGGGTGGATGTATGTTTAACATTATAAGAATCTGCCAAGCTTTTTTCCCAAGTGGTTGTTCCATTTTACATTCCCACGGGCAGTGTATGAGAGTTCCAGTCCCTAACACTTGGCATTTCAGACTTTTTAATTTTAGCCATTCTATATAGGTTTACAGTGGTATATTATTTTTTATTCTTTTACCTTTTATTATTATTTTTAATCGATTAGTTAAATTTTTAAACCTCATTGAGGTATAATTTACATATAGTCACCTTTATTGAAAGCATGTAGCTTGATGAGCTTTGTCAGTTGGATACGTAGTGAATGCACCACCCCTGCCATACAGATACGGATTTATTTCCATTGCCCTCCGAAAGACTCCTCATGCCCTCCAGCAGTCCTCCTTCTAGTCCCAGCCCAGACAAGTGCCAATCTCTTTTTCTCTATGTTAATTTGCATTTTCTAGAATTCTTTATTAGTGAAATCATATGTACTCTTTTTTTAACCTGGCCTCTTTCATTCAGTGTGCTGATTTTGAGATTTATTCATGTCCTTAAATAGTCAGCTCTTTTTTTTTTTTTTAAGATTTTATTTATTTATTTGACAGAGAGAGACACAGAGAGAGAGGGAACACAAGCAGAGGGAGTGGGAGAGGGAGAAGCAGGCTTCCCGCGGAGCAGGGAGCCTGATGCGGGGCTCGATCCCAGGACCTGGAATCATGACCTGAGCCGAAGGCAGACGCTTAACTACTGAGCCACCCAGGCGCCCCAAATACAGTCAACTCTTGAACAACATGGCTTGAATGGCGCAGGCCCCCTTACATGGATGTTTTACATTATGGTGCTGTAAAAATGTATTTTCCTTAGGACTTTATTACTATTTTTGTCTCTAGCTTACTTTATTGTAAAGAATATAGCATATAATACACACAACTTAGACTATGTGTTAATCAACGGTTAATGTGAGTCAGGAAGGCTTCTGGTCCACAGTAAGCTATTATTAGTAGGTAAATTTGGGGGGAGTCAAACATTACACATGCATCTTTGACTGCACAGGGGGTTGGCACCCAAACTCCCACGTTCAAGGGTCAACTATGTATCGGTAGTTCATTGTTATATTTTTGCTGAGTAGTATTCCACTGTATGGATACACCACTTTTGTCCGTCTCTTCTCCTGTTGGTGGACATTTGGGTTGTTTCCAGTTTTAAGCTATTGTGAATAAAGATGTTAAGAACTTCATGTAGAATTCTGCTGGGATTTTGCTAATGATTGTATTAAATTGTGAGAGAATTGATATCTTAATAATATTAAGTCTTCTGATCCAAGAACATGGTATATATTTCTATTTGTTTTTTGTTTTTTTTTTCTATTTGTTTTTAATTTCTGTGGTTCTCAATGTAGAGGTTTTATACGTGTTGTGTTAAATTTATCTCTAAGTATTTCATGTATTTAATATTATTGTAAATGGTATTATTTTCTAATTGTTGATTTGTAGTATATAGAAATACAATTGATTTTTTTTTTTAACCTATAGATCCCACAGTCTACCATTTCATCTTATATGCATCTGCTTTAGCCAGTAGAATTGTTTGAAGGAAGAAATTTGCTGGTTTTGGACTAAAGTTTATTAGAATTATTCTTATGTTCCTAAATTGGTGTGCGATGAAAGAATTTAAAAAATAATTTATGTTGAAATAACTTCAAGAAAGTTGCCAGAATACTACAAAGAACTCCATATCCCCTTCACCAAGATTTCCCATTTCCTTGACCGTTTTTATTGACGTGCACAGACTGCGTGTGTTGTAGGATGACTCTCAACCTGGGTCTGTCTGATACTTCCTCACTATGAGACTACAGTTCTACATTCTTGTCAGGATTACCACAGAAATGGTACTCTGCTCTTCTCAGTACATCACATACAGTGGTGTATGTGACCTTAACCCCTTTCCTCACCAGTGATGCTGACCTTGAGCAGCTGGACTCTTGACATCTGCTGTATTTGTCCACCTTAAATTCACCCTTTCCCTTTGAAACTGATTCATATTTGGGGGAAGGCATTCTAAGATAATGCCAATATCTTGTTCTTCAGCAGACTTCCAGTTATTAGCATTAACATTGATGGTTTCCACCTGGATTAACCACACTGTGATCATTGTCAAATGGTGATTAGCTGTTGCTGATTATCTCTTGTTTTTCTATTTGTTGGCTGCTATGAGAAAGTGCTTTTACATATCTCATTTACCTATTTATTCATTTATTCATTATTTCCCATTTTTTTATGGAATTTTAATCCATTAATTTTTATTTTGATACTCAGATTGTTTCTCATTTAGCCAGTGGGAGGCTTTCAGATTGGTTTCTGTGCCCCTTTGACACATCCCCGTCATTTATTCAGCATTCCTTACTTTCTGAAACAGGAAGATGTTCCAGGTTCATCTTTGATTTGCCCTGTCCCAGCTTTGTAAAACAGCCTTTTCTCCACAGAGCCCTGGTTCCTTTTAGTGGAGGATGGTATTTAGAAACCAAGATCTAGGTGCTTATTTTACTCATTGCTCCTGAGGTATCAATGCTTCTAGGCCTTCTTAGCAGATAAAGCTAGGAAATACACACATACACACACACGCACACACCCCCCCCCAAACTATTTATAATTGTATATAACACATATTGTATAACATATATATAATATGTATATTTTTTACATTACTACCTTAAAGTTTACCTTCTGTTATAGGCACATACTCTTTTTTTTCTAAGATTTTATTTTCAAGTAATCTCTACAGCCAACATGGGGCTCAAACTTACAGCTCCGAGATCGAGAGTTGCATGCTCTACCAACTGAGCCAGCCAGGCACCCCAGGCACATATTCATTTAGCTACAGCTTCAACCATCTTTTCCTCCTTCCTTCCAATTAACAGTAAAAAAGGTACACCACCTCTTTTCTAAGATTAATTCCTTCACTCTGGCTTTAGATCTCATCTTTCCCTCATTTCTCTCAAATAGAAAAGGAAACGAGAAATGGAAGTTTTTGTAGCCTCTTTTTAATTACCAACCCAAATTTCTGTTTGTAGAGAATATGACAATCCTCACTCTGTATATGACAGGCTAGGAAGGGCAAATAAGCTGTGATACCACACTCTCCCCCCTCCACTACTCCAGCATCCCATCTCCCCTACCCCCTCACCTCCCTCCCACTGAGGTCAAGACTCTTATGATTAGCAATATGAAGATAAGCCAGGTAAAACTGAGGCATCAGTAGTAAAGGCCCTAATGTTCTTGCTATTATTTGGGAAACAGTATCACATTAGAAATTTTTGCAATAACTTTTTGAAATATAACACTTATTTTGTTTTCTGATTATAATATAAATGCTTGTTTTTTAAAAAAGAAGACAAAAGACATAAGGGAAAAAACTCACCACTCAAAGATAGTCTCTGTTAACATTTTGGTGGATGTCCTTCAAATGATTTTTCTATATATACTTATTTTTACTTAATTTCTTACAACTGATAGACTTGTTTTTATGATAAGCAAAAATGAATTTGACCAGCTAACATTTCAGGAGGCTGATTTTTTCAAATTAAATTAAAAGTGTTTTATAGTTTATTTTTTTTAAGTGTGTATAACCTTAGCTTTCTTCTCTCACATCATTTTCTTGAAAGTCAAGATACATCCGAAAAGTCTCAGGATTATGATGTGCAGTTTAAAGCAAAGCGTGACTGTGCTCGCTTCGGCAGCACATATACTAAAGCAAAGCGTGACTTTCTAATGAGTGGGTTGCCGGATTTGCTGAAACGACAGATCGCAAAGAAAGCTGCTGCATTAGATGTGTACAGTGCAGCGAGTGCTGGTTTCCAGAGAGTCGTCCATGTACGACAAAGAGATGATGGTGAGTTTGTCACAATGAAATATTTTTCAATGTTGGAAGTAACGTGAAACCGTAAGTTGACTTAAAATGAGGCTAAGGTTTAAAGATAATTCTTAAGGGGATTTTAGTGGGAATTCGAAGGATGTGTTTCATTCTTTCTTCCTCAGTCTTGTACCCACTTTCCGAGGTTGCTCAGTCGGGGCAAGAGAGCCAGCAGCATCCTCATCCCTTAGCCGCTGTGCACCCCCTGTGCTGGTGAAGAACAGGCACATGGGTGGGACCCCAGCGGATGTTGTTCTCCAGAGAGGCACTGTGTTCTAAATGGAACGCAGTGCTCTTTACACACGTAGCCTGTTTGTGAACAGATGATTGCTAAGACTTTCTCAGAGGAGCTCCAGCTCTATTCTTTCCAATGGGCTGTTGAATGTTCAAGGGCAGTCTGTTTGCCTCCTTTCCAGAACAGCTTTTCCTCTCTCAAACCGTATAAATATCTGCTGGAGTAGGTAACAAGTCGCAGTGCTGCATGCTCCACTTCACCCTTTCCTCACATGCACCGTGCACAAGGGTGAGCTGCTTGCACAAGCCACTTGCACAGTGGTCTTAGCTTGATCAGAACCTGCTTCTGTTTGGATTCAAATGCTGTAGCAACCACAATCTTATTTTACTTATCTAGTTTTTAATTACCAAAAGTGTATAAAGCTTTATATCTTTCTCATCATTGTCCCTGCCTAGAGGTGTTTTTTTTGTTTTTGTTTTGTTTTGTTTCTTTGCCAGCACAAAAGCCCTTGTATTCTTCTTAACTGGCTTTGTGGTTTGGTTTAATGCACTCCCTCTACTCATGAAATATATTCTGTGTTCTCTTTTCATTTTGTGTTTCTGACCTTGGTAGTTTTTTGTTTTTTTTTTTTAAAGATTTTATTTATTTATTTGACAGAGAGAGACACAGCGAGAGGGAACACAAGCAGGGGGAGTGGGAGAGGGAGAAGCAGGCAGCCCCGCCATGGTCCTGGGACCATGACCCGAGCCGAAGGCAGACGCTTAACGACTGAGCCACCCAGGCGCCCCTGACCTTGGTAGTTTTTGAGTTTTCTTCAGCCTCCCATTTAGTTTTATTTATTTATTTATTTGAGAAAGAAAGAGCATGAGCAGGGGGAGAGGGACAAGTAGACTCCCCGCTGAATGGAGGGCCCGACACAGGGCTCGATCCCAAGACCCCGAGATCATGACCTGAGTTGAAATCAGATGCTCAACCGACTGAGCCACCCAGGCGCCTCTCATCCTCCCATTTATACAGGCAAATTCCTAGCCAGTCTTTCTAATGATGTTTTACTTTCCCTTTCTTCCCTAGTTCAGCCATTGGCCAGTCAGTTGATGAAACCTTTCTTGTTATTTTCACCAGTTCAGTTTTATACAGCATCTTTTTTTTTTTTTTAAGATTTTTATTTATTTATTTGACAGAGAGAGACACAGGAAGGGAGGGAACACAAGCAGGGGGAGTGGGAGAGGGAGAAGCAGGCCTCCCACAGAGCAGGGAGCCTGATGCGGGGCTCGATCCCGGGACTCCAGGATCATGACCTAAGCCGAAGGCAGACGCTCAACGACTGAGCCACCCAGGCGCCCCTACAGCATTTTTTTAATAGTATATTCAACTATAGAAATTAGTTCTGTTTTTCTTCCCTGATATTAATAAACACTTTTTCACCAGAGTGCTACTGTAAAACTTAGCATATATATTTGTAGATGAGGAGATGAGGCAAGCACAGAGAGAATCTCTTTTAGAACCTTAAGAGTTATTGCACATTGGTTTACTAGTATCTGGCATTCTGCTGAGCACTTTGTATGCATGACTAGTTTAATCTCCATAACAACTCTAGGAGGTAGACTATTGCCACCCCCATAGTAGAGAAGAAGAAACTAAGGTTTAGGACCTTGCCCATGCTAGCAAGTGGCACAGTCTGGATTTGAACCCAGGTCTGACTTCAAAGTTTAAATTTTAAAGCAGGATGCCAACAGCCCCTGAAATTTTTACCCTGAGTAGCAAGGTTGATTTAAAAAGAAAAGAGGGCACCTGGGTGGCTCAGTTAGTTAAGCGTTTGCCTTCGGCTCAGGTCACGATCTCAGGGTCCTGGGATCGAGCCCCATGTCAGGCTCCCTGCTCAGTGGGGAGTCTGCTGCTCCCCCTGCTTGTGCTCTCTCTCTTTCTGTCAAATAAATAAATAAAATCTTTAAAAAAATAAAGAAAAAGAAAAGAAAGGTTGCTTTTGCTTGGTTATTTTAAACAGTTGGAACAGAAGGCTCAGTAATTTTTATAAATTGTATTTGTTCACAGAAAGAATGGGTTCGCTGTGCGCTCACTGAGTTCTGGGATCTTTGTGTTTATGTAGTTGTCAAGTCTTTTCATGTTTGCATATTTGGCATTTGATGTATGTGAACGCAAGTAATTAAGATATTTGTTTTCTATTTTTCTTTAGGATCCCATTTGTGGCATTTGAAACCACCTACTTGCTCTCTCTTAACCAAACTTAAAGAACTGAATACTAAAGTACTAGATCTCTCAAAATGTGTTCTTGCTCTTGGTGAATTTTCAACATTGAATTCAAGTTCTAAAAGTACTAAGTCTGCTGTTGGGGTAAGTACTGGAGAGCTCATCCTTTGCAGGGTGTTTCCTTCACCTCTTTCAAAGGGAAAAAAATTTGGAACTCTATTGTGGTCTGAAGTTCATTTTTTCCCCTAGAATCCAGTTTTAAAAAATAAATCCCGATTGGGGTAGACATTTCTTTTAAATATTCCTAGAGCTTTAGAAACACTTTAAGAATTAATGGTAGCCCCCCCCAAAAAAATAATTAATGGCAGCCAATTTCAAAAGAATACTAGATTATATAGCACATTTAGATACTGTATAAGTCAGCATTCTAATCTAATGTGTAAGTTGAAAGAGGGAACAAAAAAAATATGAACTAAGTCCTTCAAAAGTATGCAAATGCAGCTTCATTGTCAAGGTTGTATTTAGTCACTAAAGCTTCTCCTGCATTAATACTGACTTATTATAGACAGAAAGTAGTTGTGACTAGTATTAATAGACAGTGTAGGGGGTACCTAGCTGGCTCAGTCAGTGGAGCAAGAGACTCTTGATCTCAGGGTTGTGAGTGTGAGCCCCATATTGGGCGCAGGAATTACTTTATTATTTATTTACTTATTAATATTTTATTTATTTGAGACAGAGACAGAGAGCAGGTAGGGGGAGGGGCAGAGGGAGAAGCAGACTCCTCCCCTGAGCAGGGAGCCCGATGCCAGGCTCAATCCCAGGACCCTGAGATCTTTTTTTTTTTTTAAAGATTTATTTATTTGACAGAGAGACACAAGAGAGGGAACAGAATCAGGGGGAGTGGGAGATGGAGAAGCAGGCTTCCCGCCAAGCAGGGAGCCTGATGCGGGGCTCGATCCCAGGACCCTGAGATCTTGACCTGAGCTGAAGGCAGACACTTAACCGACTGAGCCACCCAGGCGCCTGAGATTACTTTAAAAAAAATAAAAATCTTTAAAAAATAGACAGTGTCTGTTATTGAGCATTTTATTCTTTATTGTAGCTTGTGGAGAGAAGGAAAGATTTGACTGAAGAAGTAAGAAATCTTTTGCTGCAGGAAATTAGGTGGTCAAATCCTGAATTTTCTTTGAGGAAATATTTTTCTTTGCTTCTAAAAAAACGAAGTGAGCACCAGGTGCTTTCTGAGTGTCATCGTAAACAAGGTTAGTGATAAGTATTATCATTTACATTAACATTTTGCTTTTGAAAGCATTAAGTCTTGGTCATTGACTCCTGCAAGTCCACAGAGAATATTGTTTATGGTTGGCAGGGAAAATTGTTCAACTGAAGTAAAGCATCTTATTCAGTGCAGTGTTGGCCCCTGCTGTTTTCCACAGATGCGAGCCCAAAGACAGCTTTAATTATGTTAAGATATTAATAGTTCATTAAAGGAAAGCCTTAGATGAGATCATTTGAATTTACATAGCTTGTATAAAAGGCAATCTAAATAACAAGATAGCCTGCTTGCTTTCAGTATGCCACATTTGGTTCTTCTTCATTTTGTAGTAATAAGATTATTGGATATTTTGAAGTGACATTAAGATGGTCGGATATTAAAATTTGGTTTTCGTTGATTAGTAAGCACATGCATTTCTGTAATTTCTGAAATAGAAAGTCCACAACGAGAGCCCAGTGTCAACCAAAAAGAAAGCAAAAGGAAACGAGTGGAAACGGAAATTCATAAGTCAAAAAGAAAAAAACCAAATGAGTATTCACAAAGTCCAAAAAAGATAAATGGGAAACCAGAAGAGCTTGACAAAAGAAACAGCTCCACTGGGATAAAGCTAGATTCTTGTAAAGGCCTTCTTTCTAAAACATCCAGGAAGAAACAAACTGCCTTGAGTACAACATGTAAAGTAGAAACAGAAGCAGTTGAAGATCCTGATGTTCTGATAATAGATGATGGCAAAGAGTCTTCCTCAGAAAGCTCTCCTGTTCCTGGTAAATTAGATCTTCTTCTGGTCCTAGAACACTTTTGTTTATTTAACCTCTCATTTTCTCTTCTCTTTATGTTCATCGCAACATTCAAACAATGTATGTGTATAAAACAAGTGGAAGCCTTACTAATTACAGCCTTAAAGAATACCACATTTAACAGATTGGTGTTTGGTCTTTGATTTTTCTGTGCTTCTGTAGATACATGTGCTTTTGTAAAAACCTGGAATTATACTATACAATTTATTTTATATCTGTTTCACATGTCTCTGACATGTTCCTATTTGGGTTATCTAGCTTTTTCAAAGTTTTCTGTTGAATTAATTAATTCATCCCGTTACATAGCTTTAGAGTATGTTTTGACACTTGTACAGCAAGTCTTCTATCGTTTTTTTAAACTATGTTCATGTAGCTACATTGCTGAATGAACTGTTGATCCTCCTACCACAAATCCCATTGGGGTTTTGATTTTGCATTAGTGTATAGATTAATTTGGAGTGAACTGGCATCTTTACAACATTCAGCCTTCTCAAATGGGAGTGTAGTACGTGTCTGTTTACCCAGGCTGACTTAATAGGACAGTTTAATGTTTTATTTCAGGGGGTCAAAGGAAGTTGCACTAAAATTATGCTGCCTTTGCTCTTTAAATTATTTCTTAAAGTATGAATCATTTTTCATATTTCATGTTTTTTAGTGATTATTAAAATTTTAAATGTGTACTTTTATTTATTTTTTAATATACTTAAATTTTTTTTAAGTAATCTCTACCCCCAATGTTGGTTTTCGTTGGAGCTTGAACTCATGACCCCAAGATCAAGAGTCACATCTCTCCCAATTGAGCCAGCCAAGCACCTCTAAATGTGTACTTTTTTTTTTAAGATATTTATTTATTTATTTATCTACTTATTTGTCACAGAGAGAGAGTGCGTGTGCTCGAGAGCACAAGCAGGGGGAGCAACAGGCAGAGAGAGAAGCAAGCTCCCCGCTGAGCAAGGAGCCCGATGCAGGGCTCAATCCCAGGACCCTGGGATCATGGGACCTGAGCCAAAGGGAGACACTTAACCGACTGAGCCACCCAGGCGTCCTAAATGTGTATTTTTAAACCTTACTGTCATGAGACTTTATGGTGGTTAGCCTTTTATTTATTTATTTATTTTAAGATTTATTTATTTGAGAGTGAGAGAAAGCATGCTGGGGTGCAGAGGTGGGGGGTGACAGAAGGAGAGGGAGAGGAGCAGACTCCTCTAGTGTGGAGCCAGACATGGGGCTTGATCTTGCTACCCTGAGTTCATGACCCTGATAACATGACCTGAGCCGAAATCAAGAGTTGGATGCTTAACTGACTGAGCCACCCAGGCGCCCCCCTTTTTTAATTAATTAATTTATTTATTTATTTATTTTCCCCTTAGATTTTATTTATTTATTTGACAGAGAGAGACACAGCGAGAGAGGGAACACAAGCAGGCGGAGTGGGAGAGGGAGACGCAGGCTTCCTGCAGAGCAGGGAGCCCCACGTGGGGCCCAATCGCAGGGCCCCGGGATCATGACCTGAGCCGAAGGCAGACGCTTAACGATTGAGCCACCCAGGCACCCCTCCCCACCCTTTTTAAAGTTGGCTCCATGCCCAGCGTGGAGCCCAACAAGGCTTGAACTCAAAACCCTGAGATCAAGACCTGAACTGAGATCAAGAATTGGACACTTCCCTAAGTCACCCAGGCACCGCAGTAGTGGTTAGCTTTTAAGGGGCAAGGTTTTTGATTTGAAAAATATTATATGTGGGCCGCCTGGGTGGCTCAGGCAGTTAAGCATCTGACTTCAGCTCAGGTCATGATCTCAGGGTCCTGGGATCAAGCCCAGGGTTGGGCTCCCCAGTCAGCAGGGAGTCTCCTTGTCCCTCTGCCCCTCCCCCGCACTCGTGCTGTGTCTCCCCCAGCTCCCTCTCTCAAATAAAAATACTAAAAATTAAAAAAAAGAATTTTTTTTAAAAGATTTTATTTATTTATTTGAGAGAGAGTGAGAGAGCACAAGAGGGGGGAGAGGGAGGAGCAGACTCCCCGCTGAGCAGGGAGCCCGATGCGGGACTCGATCCCGGGACTCCAGGATCATGACCTGAGCCGAAGGCAGTCGCTTAACCAACTGAGCCACCCAGGCGCCCCTAAAAAAAAAGAATTTTAAATGTAATGTTAAATTTTGAAATTGACCCTTTTGGCATTTTGTAGATATAAATACTTGCATAAATACTCATTGTTTACATGAAACAATACTGTAGATGTCTCAGAATATATTCTTATGTCAAGGACAAATATTTTAATATAAATTTTTTGCTTTAGATTCTGGAACTGAAGACATGCTTTGGACAGAAAAGTATCAACCTCAGAACTCCAGTGAAGTCATAGGCAATGAGCTAGCTATAAAAAAGTTACATAGGTTGGTAAAACTTGTAAAAAAATTGAGAAATTGTTTATGGATCTAGTTTTACTGCTTTGTTTTAGTTATACTAAAATCTAGAAATTATAAAGTAATACATAGTAAAATCTTAAAAAAAGAAAAATGTGAAAAGTAAACATCCCTCTTTTCTTCCATTTCTACTTTCCAGAGGTAACAACTATTAAAAGGTTTCCTGTAAAACCTTACAGAAAAAATTTTATGCATATATTAGCTCCTTTCTGCCTAACAAATAGGATCATATTACTACTAATTCAGGTCCATAATCCCTTGTCTATGATTCCCACATCCAAGAAGTTCTGTAAACCGAAAGTTATTAACTTTATTATATATTACGGTTTTTATGGGTCCCACTTAGTAGGAGTACATACATTTTTTAAAAATAGAAATATTAAGTGATTGTGGATGTAACACCACAGACCCCATTAGAGGTATTGTGTTATATGTGGTATATGTACCAAGTTACTTTTTTAATATCTGAAAATTTTTGAATTCCAAAACTCACCTGGTCCAAAGGATTTCATATAAGAAATAGGAACCCATGATAATAGTTAACACTTTGAGCCTAGCACTATTCTAAGTACTTGCATTGTTCTTAGCTCATTTAATCCTTAAAACTATAATATACTGTTGTCCTTATCTTACAGATGAGGAATGGGCCTACAGAGGTTAAATTATTTGTCCAGAGTCACACAGCTCTAAAGTTGGGGAGCTAGAACTCAAGCTTGGGCAGTCTAGCTCCAAACTAGGACTTCATCTTTCCACTTACGCTTAGCACCGTGTATTAGACATCTTTCATGTCATCACGGGGTCTCCTCAGTTCTTTTTTTTTTTTTTTTTTAAGATTTTATTTATTTATTTAATTGACAGAGAGAGAGACAGCGAGAGAGGGAACACAAGCAGGGGGAGTGGGAGAGGGAGAAGCAGGCTTCCCACCGAACAGGGAGCCCGATGCAGGGCTCGATCCCCCGACCCTGGGATCATGACCTGAACTGAAGGCAGATGTTTAATGACTGAGCCACCCAGGCGCCTCTCCTCAGTTCTTTATAGTTGCTCCATACTGGTTTTTTAAGTAGCTGTACTGTGTGTATCTTTTCTTCTACTGAGGTACTTTTAGGTTTTTCTGTTTGGAAGCTAATATGAACAGTGTTGCCATGAATAACGTTGCTCCTATAGTCTTGTGTGTTTTGGTAAAAGTTACTTCATTTAAAAATATTCGTGCCCATGTAAATATATTTTACTATTTAGTTGATTCAAAGAGATATATCTCTATTCTGTGAATTATTTTTATTAACATACATTTTCTTACGGCAGTTGGTTGAAAGACTGGAAGAGAAGAGCTGAATTGGAAGAAAAACAAAATTTGAAGGGAAAAAAAGACGAGAAACAGGAAGGTATTTTGAGTTATTTTCTCCATTTCACTGGACATTTTGAGTTAGATTAGCTAAATATTTATATAAAATTTCTTAACTGGTATTTTGTATTTGATTTTCTAGTTTTTGTAAATTAAATTTCCAGCATTTACTGGCAAGAAGTTTGTAAGGTTTGATCATTGGGTTTCGTGAGGTAGAATTGCTGCCTGAGCAATTAGCAAATGGTAATGTGCATTTGAATAATTTTTCAGATCTGTCGGACAGCATAGATTTTAAAGGCAGTTCAGATGACGAAGAGACTCGCCTTTGCAATACTGTTCTTATAACAGGGCCAACAGGAGTGGGAAAAACGGCGGCAGTGTATGCTTGTGCTCAGGAGCTTGGATTCAAGGTTAGTAAGAGCTACACTGGGAGAATGTTAATGTAGTAGTTACACTTGAATTAAAGGAAAACCAACCATTCTGCCTTGCTTTCATATATTCTTCTTTTAGATATTTGAAGTCAATGCGTCTTCTCAGCGCAGTGGTAGACAAATTCTATCTCAACTGAAGGAAGCTACTCAGTCCCATCAAGTGGACAAGCAAGGTGTAAACTCTCAAAAACCTTGTTTTTTTAATAGTTACAACCTAGGCAAGTCACCAAGTAAGTAAATTATTTTCCTTAGGTCATAACATCATTGGAAAAAATAAAAATCTACAAAAAGAATTATAATAATCAGCATTTTGCCATTCATTTTTTTATCTTTTCCTATACACATACATGCCTTTTTAATTTTTTCCTGTACAGTTTTAAAACAAATCTCAAGACCATCATATAATTTTACCCATATGTACTTCATAGGTATCTCTAACTGATAAGGACTTTATTTATTTACTTATTCATGTATTTATTAAGATTTTATTTTTAAGTAATCGCTACACTGAACATGGGGCTCGAACTCAAAACCCCATGATCAGAAGTCACACACTCCTCTGACTGAGCTAGCCGGGCCCTCTTGATAAGGACTTTTTTTTAAGATTTTATTTATTTATTTGAGAGAGAGTGAATGAGAGAGAGAGCACACGAGGAGAGGGAGAGGGAGAAGCAGACTCCTTGGCTGAGCAGGGAGTCCGATGTGGGACTTGATCCCAGGACACTGGGATCATGACCTGAGCCAAAGGCAGATGCTTAATCGACAGCCACCCAGGCGACCCCGGATAAGGACTTTTTAAAAAGCATAACCACAGTATCATAATTATACCTAATGGAATTAACTTGATACCTTAATTTCATCTCATAGATACTCCTCTTTTGGCTTTCTGTTGTTTCAAATGCTTTGTGCAAATTCAGATCCAAACAAGGTTTACATCTTACATTTGATTAATGTCTTTTGAATTTCTTTCAGTCTCCCTAATAATTCCCTCATCCTTTTCATATCATTTATTTGTTGACCCATTTGTTTGGGTCATTTTTCATAAAATTTCTCACATTTTGGATTTGGCTGATTGTATCTTTATGGTATCAGTTAATATATTCCTCTTCCCTATTTACTTGTAAACTGGCAGTTAGATCTGTGGGCTTGATTAGACTCAGGTTCTGTTTCGGGGCTGTCATACATGCATAGGCAGGGCTGTGCACTTTGTATGGCATCAGAGCCGAAGATACGTTTATGATATTAACATGGATTGGTGAGTTCAGTTGTTTCCACGCTGATCCATCCATTATAAAGTTCCCACATCACTCTTTGAACTAACAGTATTTTGTAGCCATGAATGATCTTTACCTAGTAGATTGTTTCATTAAGGGTTAAAAAAAATGGTGATTTTGTAATTCACTTAGCCTTTCTGAATTTATTAAAGTTCTGAGAAGCAGTTCTCCTCATGCAGTGTCTGTATACTTTGACATAGTTTATACAGGAAAGGCACGAGAAATGCTTCATTCTTTCCATTTATTTTTCACTTCATAGAGTAATGGTGCCCTAGTAATCTCTGAGGTTGTCCAATGAGTTTTGGGGTACTTTTTTTTTTAGTATTATGATGAACTCATGGATTTGTATATATATGTGTTTCAGTCCCTTGTGTTCATTATTCTTTGCTGCTTTTAAGATTTTCTCTTTGTCGGGCGCCTGGGTGGCTCAGATGGTTAAGCGTCTGCCTTCGGCTCAGGTCATGATCCCAGGGTCCTGGGATCGAGTCCCACATCGGGCTCCCGGCTCAGTGGGGAGCCTGCTTCTCCCTCTGACCCTCTCCCCTCTCATGCTGTTTCTCTCTCACTCGCTCTCTAAAAAATAAATAAAATCTTAAAAAAAAAAAAAAAAAGATTTCTCTTTGTCACTAGTTGTGAGTGCCTGTGACTTTGATGTGCGTTGGCGTAGTTTTCTTCATGTTTCATGTGGTTGGGGTTTGTTGAGCTTCTTGTACAAATGGGTTTATATTTTCATCAAATTTGGAAAATTCCAAGCAGTTGTTTTTCCTTTTTTTTTTTTAAGATTTTATTTATTTATTTGACACAGAGAGACAGTGAGAGAGGGAACACAAGCAGGGTGAGTGGGAGAGGGAGAAACAGGCTCCCCGCCGAGCAGAGAGCCCAATGCGGGGCTTGATCCCAGGACCCTGGGATCATGACCTGAGCCAAAGGCAGACGCTTAATGACTGAGCCCCCCAGGCACCCCAGTTTTTTTTTCCTCTTAACTAAAATATTTTTGACCTTGGGCGCCTGGGGGGCTCAGTCGTTAAGCATCTGCCTTCAGCTCAGGTCATGATCCCAGGGTCCTGAGATCGAGTCCCACATTGGGCTCCCTGCTCAGCGGGAAGCCTGCTTCTTTCTCTCCCACTCCCCCTACTTCTCCCTCTCCCTCTCCCACTCCCCCTGCTTGTGTTCCCTCTCTCGCTATGTCTCTCTCTGTCAAATAAATAAATAAAATCTTAAAAAATAAAATAAAATATATTTGACCTTAACATTGTATATATTTATACATGTTAATTTTATAGATTTATGTATTGTAATATGTTTGCGATTGTGTTTATATTAGTACCTCTATCACATTACATAATTATTTTTAGTGGTTGGAATAATTAAGGTATAGTCTCAGGAAGTTTGGTGATTATAATAGAATATTGTCTATATTTACTATAGCATGCATTAGGTCTCTAGGATTTACTTATTACTCATTGCAAGTTTGTACCCTTAAACAACATCTGTCCTACCCCCCTACCCCATCTTCTGGTAACCACCATTCTACTCTCTGTTTTTATGAGTTTGGCTTTTTTAGATTCCACATATAAGTAATGTTATACAGTACTTGCTTTTCTGTGACTTACCTCACTTAGTCTAATGCGCTCCGGGTCCATCCATGCTGTTACAAATGGCAGGATGTCCTTTCTTAGGGCTGAGTAATATTCCATTGTGTATAGATACCACATCTGGATCCATTCATGAATGGGCACTCAGGTTGTTTCCATACTACATTCTGTTGTGGATAATGCTGCTAAGTTGTCTCAGCTTGATGATTGATTGTTCAGGTTTGCAGTCTTCTTGTTCCTATCTGTGTTTCATCTTGGATAGTTTCTAACTACTCAAATTCACAAATCTTATTTTCTGCAATATGCAGTATGCTGTCCGTGCCATCCAATGTATTTTGTATTTCACACATTGTAGTTTTCATTTCTAGAAGGTGGACTTGGGTCCTTTTTATATCTTCTGTGTTACCATGCCCAATTTTTTTTGTAAGTTTGATTGTTTTGGGTCTTTTATGCTATATTAGGTGAGGCCATAGAAGCATCTAGTTTAGGATTAATTTTGCCCTGATACTTAGGCAAAATCCTTCTGAGTACTCTATCCAGTGCCCCATGAATTCTGAAGTCTGCTGTTCTGTCTAGTGTAAGAGGAACTATTCCCAGCTGTCTGTGAGCCTCAGGGATTATTTTTCCTAATCTTTTACTGATCACTACTCAGTTGAAGACTTGAGAGGGACCCTCTGTAGATTTCTGGAGCACTCCATGGAGCTCTCTTCACTATTCTGCCCCATGAATGCTATCTGCCTTGGCATCTCCAGGCTCCTCTTCAGTCTCCTCAGCTCAGGAAACCTCTGGACTGGCTTCCCCTTCCTCACTGTGGCCTAGACATTCTCTCACAAGGCAGGAAGCTAGGCAATTCCTGGGGTTCACCTTGTTTGTTTCTTGTCTCTCAGGTATATCACTCTTCTTTTTTGCATGATGTCCGAAGTCTTGAAAGCATTGTTTCATCTATTATGTTTAGTTTTTTGGTATTATTTCAGATATATGGGTAAATCCAATGTATGTCTTGGCCAGAAGCAGAACGCTTTTTTCTTTTTGTGCTCATATCGTCTGCTCTTTGACTAGTGGGAACCCGACTGAATTGGCTTGTGTCCTTTTGATGTAACCCCAGTGATCTTTGATACTTGTTTTTGCTTTCTGGCTTGTTAAGATGTCTCAGACCTAGAAGGTAGCTCTCTCTCCATGGAGCTGATTGCTTTTGTGGAAAATCCTTTAAAAACAATATATCAATAAAATTTAGCCAAGTACTTAACTAAGTATCAAAATTAAAAATTGGCACATATTTTCTAAAACCAGTCTTTGGACTGATGCCAATCCATGATCAAGCAATCCTTATACTATGTCAAAATTAGAAAAATAAGGACAAAGTGTTGAGTTTTTTATAAATTGAAATCTATTCAATATAAAGAAATATTTTTTGAGATTTTGTGCCTCTTACCTTGTGTTAAAATCCCTATTTTTATGAGATAATAGTGATGTCTAGGATAATTTTTCCAACTCAAATTTTTTTTTTTTCATTTAAATTTTAGGTAGTTAACATAACAGTGCAATATTGGTTTCTGGAGTAGAATTCAGTGATTCATTACTTACATACAACACCCCGTGCTCATCACAAGTGTCCTCCTTACTCCCCATCACCCATCTAGCCCATTCCCCACCCACATCCCTCCATCAACCCTCAGTTTGCTATCGTTAAGAGTCTCCTATGGCTTGTTTCCTTCTCCTTTTTTTCTTTTCCCCCTTCTCATATAGTTCATCTGTTTTGTTTCTTAAATTCCATGAGTGAGATCATATGGTATCTGTGTTTCTCTGACTGACTTATTTCACTTAGCATAATACACTGTAGCTCTGTCCATGTCATTGCAAATGGCAAACTGAAAGTTCTCAGTAAGTTTTCAAACACCTATAATATGCAAAGGATATGATAAGATCTGTGGAAACGGGGTGTGAAGAAATATAATTTGGACATGTGAGGACTGAATCAGAGCACTTATAGGGGAGAAAAGGACATGCTCTTGGCACCACAGGACTTCTGGAGGGTAGAGGTCAACCATTTATTTTTAAATTTTGTATCTGTCCTCCACAGCATCTCTAGAAAAACATATTTTCTGCTTGCAGTTTCCATTTACTACAGGGCTAAACTGAAGTTGGATAACAGTGTTCCATAATGTGCTCAGTATGTACCATTATCACTTTTCCTCCAATCTCTTCTGAACTCAAGCAGATGGAGAGAAAGTGAATGGAGAGATTCTGAACATTCTTTGCCTCAAGGATGTATGTTTCATTGAAAAGAATGTCTTTTTCAGATGACTGGTTTTACCTTCTCTGATGATAGAATGAATAACTATAATAATACAGTACTATTTGTACACAGTATTTGAATGTAAGAATGAAAGAAAATTTCTATATCAATTTTTAACTGGTAGGAGTAGAAATGTAGACTGTGGAGAACTCAATCTTACCATCCATTTAACTTTTAGAATACTTATCGTTAAGTAAATTTGTTTTTGGCAGAAAAATTAAGCTCCCCTAAGAAAGTTGTTACATCACCAAGGAAACTTCCTCCACCGTCACCACAAACTAGCGTACCAAAGCGAACACTTCCACCTAAAACTTTGGCAAATTATTTTAAAGTGTCTTCCAAGCCAAAAAATAATGAAGAAGTAGTACTTCCGGAAAATAATAAAGGTAAGACATTAAACGGACAAAATATATGTGGCAGTTTTTAATACTAATGACCCTGATACATAAAAATATCATATCTCCTCAGTTTCTATTGCTTTTTATTAAACCTCAGCTACACTGAAGGTCCTACATAGAGGAGTTTTGATATTTTGTTTCAGTTTTTTTTCCTCACCTCTTGTTTAGTTTTGATAGAGAGTTTCAGTTGAGTTTATCCTGCAGAAACATCCAGTGTTCTATTAAAAGTTGATTTTATCTAAAATACTAACATTTTATTTATGCAGGAATAAAAAATTCTTGTGAACAAAAACCAATTATTCAGACTAAATCTACAAAGACAACTAAGTCAAATGTCAAAGAATTTGGAGCTGAGGAACCCAACAGGAAAAATGCAACATCTCTCATTCTTTTTGAGGAGGTAGGCTTATGGGCATATGTTCATGTTATCTCATAATAAGAACTTATTCAAAAGGTTACTGTATGTGTTACTATAAAGTATTCTAAAATAGCCAAGAAAGTCAGGAATACTTCTATCTGAGTTTTTTAAAAAATTTTAAAAGATTTTATTTATTTAGAGAAAGAGCGTGTGTGTGTGTGTGTGTGTGTGTGCGCGCATGAGTGTGGGGAGGGGCAGAGGGAGAGAGAGAATCTCAAGTGGACTTTTTGGGAGAGAGTGTGCAAGAGAGAGCATGAGCTGGGGGAAAGGCAGATGGAGAGGGAGAGGCAAACTCCCCACTGAGCAGGGAGCCCGATGCGGGGCTCAATCCCAGGACCCTTGGATCATGACCTGAGCCGAAGGCAGATGCTTAACGACTGAGCCACCCAAGCGCCCCTGAATTTATGAAATTTATGAACAGTATGAATTCAACCCACATTGAAAGCCTAAAATGTTTTACACTATTAAAAGTAAAAAAAATTGGGGCGCCTGGGTGGCTCAGTCGTTTAAGCATCTGCCTTCAGCTCAGGTCATGATCCCAGGGTTCTGGGATCGAGCCCCGCATTGGGCTCCCTGCTCAGCAGGAAGCCTGTTTCTCCCTCTCCCACTCCCCCTGCTGTGTTCCCTCTCTCGCTATGTCTCTGTCTGTCAAATAAATAAAATCTTAAAAACATTTTTTTCATAAATTCATAAATTTTGTCTCTAGCAGACATACAGTGTATCTAGTATATATACAGAACCTATCCAGTAAATGTTTTGTTACTCAATACAGTATTATTCTCATAAATGGCTCTTAGGTTGATGTTATTTTTGAAGAAGATGCTGGGTTTTTGAATGCAATCAAAACGTTCATGGCAACAACTAAAAGACCTGTGATCCTTACTACTAGTGGTAAGTAACAGTGATTTTACAACTAATTACTTTTGGTTAAAATATTTTGAGAAAGCTTCTCATTTTAGTTAGAAACGTTCCTTTAAAAGTCTGCTAGTAAATTAAGTCTTTTTTTCTAAAATTTGGAGGCTCCTAGATCATTTTTAAATGAAGAATTATTTAAATTTGCTATTGATTCACAGCCTTGAGTAATTATAAAATTACTACATTACCCTGTGAATAGCTGTGGTGTGGAAATTGGATACTACTTTGAATCATTGTGTTAAGTATTAGATATTTAGGATGCTTACAACAGCCTAGAATGCAGGCAAAGAGATTTATGAACTATTCAGGAAAGGGGTTTTGGTAGGGGCGGTAACAGAGCCTTCTCTTTGCCTCTTCCTCATACTTAGATCACCAAATGTTACTTGTCAGAATTTTTTATGGAGCTCAACCTTTCTGCAGTGCCTTAATATTGAACTTAGCCATTCCTTATCCCCTGAGAACACTTCCATGTGGATTATTGCATATTTTAAAGTACATAGCCTAATGGAATTAGTCCACCTTCTTTTTTTTTTCTTAAGATTTTATTTTTTAAGTAATCTGTACACCCAATATGGGGCTTGAACCCACAACCCTGAGATCAGGAGTAACATGCTCCACCGATGGACCCTGGAATTGGTCCACCTTCCTAATAATTTGCATTCAGTGTTCAATTTTGAGAGTCATTGTTTTCTAATATTTTTCATTGCACATATTCAGTCGCATCTCTCTGCTATGGATTTCTATAGGAAAAAGTATTTATGTTAGACTCTACTTAAAATTAACAGCTCATTTGACTGTTAATGATTATACTTAAAAATATTGAAATAAATCGTATTAGTCAAGGTTACATGATAATTTAATTAAAAGATCAAAAGTTACTTTAGGTCAAGACAGAAATTCAGTTCCTTAGTGATTTTTTTTTTTTAATTTTTATTTATTTATTTGAAGAGAGAGATACAGTGAGAGAGGGAACACAAGCAGGGGGAGTGGCAGAGGGAGAAGCAGGCTTCCCGCCGAGCGGGGAGCCCGATGCGGGGCTCGATCCCAGGACCCTGGGATCATGACCTGAGCCGAAGGCAGACGCTTAACGACTGAGCCACCCAGGCACCCCCAGTTCCTTAGTGATTTATAATTTAAATGATATTTTCATTACCAATGAAATATAGAATATTTTCATAGAAAAAGTAACGGAAAAATTAATTTAGTAGTCTTAATGGTTTTTTTAAATGTTTTTTTCCTATAGATCCAACATTTAGTTTAATGTTTGATGGCTGCTTTGAAGAAATTAATTTCAGTACTCCTTCGCTTGTAAGTTTTCATTTTGTTCATAAATCATGTCACAATTCTATACAAGGTGGTTTCTTGTGATAGTGCCGGTGTATCTTCCGTACACGGTTGAATGGGAGTTAAGAGCGAGTATCTCTGCCTTGTTTCTGAATTTGAGGCTAAAGTAGGCATTCTTTTAGCATTAAGTGTGATATTAGCCATATATTTTCATATATGCTCTTCATCAGTTAGCTGTGTTTTTATTGTGAATGGTGTTAAGTTTTGTCAGATACTTTGAATCTTTCAAGGCAATCATACGGTTTATCTTTTTAGTTCTATTAATATGGCGACTGATGTTAGTTGTTTTTTAAAATCAGCAGTCTTGCATTCTTTTTTTTTTTTTTAAGATTTTATTTATTTATTTAACAGATAGAGACACAGTGAGAGAGGGAACACAAGCAGGTGAGTGGGAGAGGGAGAAGCAGGCTTCCTGCCGAGCAGGGAGCCCGATGCGGGGCTCGATCCCAGGACCCTGGGATCATGACCTGAGCCGAAGGCAGACGCTTAACAACTGAGCCACCCAGGCGCCCCTCAGTCTTGCATTCTTAAGATAATATGGTCATGATGTGTTATGTCTTTTTGTAGTTCTGGATTTGATTTGCTCATATATTGTTATGGACTTTCGTATCTGCGTTTATGAAGGATGTTAGTGGGTGGTTTCCAGGCCATTTGAAATGGATTAGGACATAGATTTTAGTAGTTTCTTCAGAAATAATATGCATTCTTAGTTTTTCATAGTGTATATTTTTTTAAGATTTTCTTTATTTGAGAGAGAGAGAGAGCACAAGTGGGGGGTGGGAGGCAGAGGGAGAAGCAGACTCCCTGCTGAGCAGGGAGCCCTCAATCCCAGGACCCCAAAATCATGACGCAAGCCAAAGGTAGAAGCCCAACCAACTGAGCCATTCAGGTGCCCCAGTTTTTCATAGTGTATTTAGGGTTAGTATTATACTAATTTATAGAGAATCTAAGAACCTTGCAAAGATATCAGTCCATTTACCATCCCTCTCTCATATGCTTTAGTTTTCAGATGTTTTACATTTACACATTATAAACTCCCCAATATAATGCTCTGCTTTTTTGCTTTAGCCAGCCATGTGTGTTTGAAAGAAATTAGGAGAATAAAAAGTTGACTTTTATGTTTACCTATATACTTATAATTTCTAATATACTTCATTCCTTCCTGAAGATCTGACTTTTTCTTTGATTTTGTTTCTCTTCAGCCTGAAGAATTTCATTAACAATTTTTATAGAGCTAGTCTGCTGGCAGTGGATTATATTAGGTTTTGTTTACTTGAAAATGTCTTTATTTTTACTTCATTCTCAAAGAATATTTTCCCTTGGCATAGAAATCTGGGTTCTCAGTTTTTCCATCAGTACTTCTTTTTGTAAGTAGGCTCCACACCCAGCATGGGGTTTGAACTCACCACCCAGAGATCAAGTGTCGCATGCTCTACCAACTGAGCCAGCCAGGCACCCCTGTATCAGTACTTTAAAGATGTCATTCCATTTTCTTTTGGACATTGGTATTTCTGATTATAAGTCACCATTTTTTTTTTTTTTTGCCCCCTATGTAGTATGTCATTATTTTCCCGATGGCCTTCAAGATATTCTCTTTAGTTTTCTTTTCTTTCATTTTTTTTTTTTTTAAAGATTTTATTTATTTATTTGAGACAGCATGAGAGAGAGAGCACAAGCAGGGCGGGAGGGGTAGAGGAAGAAGCAGTCATCCCACTGAGCAGGGAGCCCAATGCGGGGCTCGATCCCAGGACCCTGGGATCATGACCTGAGCCGAAGGTAGGCGCTAACCGACTGAGCCACCAAGGTGTCCCTAACTTTAGTTTTCAACAATTGCCTGTGATGTGCCTAGGTGTTATTTTTCTTCATATCTGTCCTGCTTCTGGTTGTTGGATATCTACAATCCATAAATATATGTCATTCCTATAAAAAAAAAAAAATAAGAAAAAAAAAAAAATAAATATATGTCATTCCTTCAATGAGGTTCACTTTTAAACTTATTTTTTCAAATTTATTTTATGCCCATTTTCTCTTTCCCTCTTGGGAATTTAATTATACGTATGTTAGACATTTTACATTGTCTCCCATGTCGCTGAGGCATGCTGTTCTCCTCCCCCCCTAACTTTTCTGTTTGTACTTTTGATTTGATCATTTGTATTGATTAATCGTCAAATTTACTGCCATTTTTTTCTGCCACCTCCATTCTCCTATGAGGCCCATCTAGTAAAATTTTTATTCTGATATTATGATTTTTAGTTTTACAATTTCTGTTTGCTTCTTTTTATGGCTTCTGTTTTTCTGCTGGGCTTTCTTATTTGTCCATTATGTTCTTTAAGCATAGTTTTACTAGCTGTTTTAAAATTCTGCTAATTCTAGGTCGCCTGGGTGACTCAGTTGTTAAGTGTCTGCCTTCGGCTCAGGTCATGATCCCAGGGTCCTGGGATCAAGCCCCGCATCAGGCTCGCTGCTCAGCAGGAAGCCTGCTTCTCCCTCTTCCACTCCTCCTGCTTGTGTTCCCTCTCTCTCTGTCTCTCTCTCTGTCAGATAAATGAAATCTTAAAAAAAAAAATTCTGCTAATTCCAATATCTTCGTCACCTTTTGTTTTTATTAACATATAACATTATTGTTTCGGGGTACAAGTCTATGATATATCAGTCTTACACAATACACAGTGCTCACCATAACACACACCCTCCCCAATGTCCATCACCCAGCCACCCTATCCCCCCACCCCCCTCCCCTCCAGCAACCCTCAGTTTGTTTCCTGAGATTAAGAGTCTCTTATGGTAAAAAAAAAAAAAAAAAAGAGTCTCTTATGGTTTGTCTCCCATTTTCATCATCTTGTGATTAAATCTATTGATTGTCTTGTCTCTGAGGAATTACTTTTTCTGTTTCTTTGTATGTGTAGTAGTTTTAGAGTTTTATCCTGTACTTTGCTATTATGTTGTAGCTACTCTGGATTTGGTTCTGTTCCTCTGAATAAATATTCTCCTGTAGTATGTAGCAGCTAAAGTTTCTGTTCAGTTCTTTTAGTTTTAGCTGGGCTGCTTTGAGACAGACCCACACATGTGAAGTTCAGGCATCAACCAGGGATTTGCATTCTTCTTTAGCTAGAATTTGTTTCCTGGACGCCTGGGTGGCTCAGTTGGTTGGGCAGCTGCTTTCAGCTCGGGTCATGATCTCAGGGTCCTGGGATCGAGTCCCATGTTGGGCTTTCTGCTCATCGGGGAGCCTGCTTCTCCCCTGCCTGCCATTCCCCCTGCTTTTGCTTGCTCTCTTGTCTCCTCGCTCTCTCTCTTTCAAATGAATAAATAAAATCTTAAAAAAAAAAAAATTTGTTTCCCTACTTTCATAGACATCCTCTCTCACTTTCCAGCTATTGCCAGCATCCCAAACTCTGTCCTCTGGTTCAAGCCAGTAACACTGTGAGTTTCTGCCTGAGTTTTAGCCACCACTGCTGCATCCTGTCCTAAGTCAGAAATCAATTTGGGGGGGGGGGTGAATTCACCCAGGGCCATTTTCTTTTGTCTAAGTGTTGATTTTCCCTTCAGTTATCTTCTGCTTTTGGTTACTGTCTTGTGCCTTCAAATAGTTTGTTTTTTATACTTATTTGTAGCTGATTATTGAGTTTATCATTATTACTGATGGCAAGATTTGTCTGATAGTAGGTACTTCATTATTGAAAGCAGAATTCTTAGTTTGTGGGAAGCAGAAGTCCCAGAAGTATGCAGGAGTACTGTATGTGCATAGAATGAGGTCAAAGATTTATTATTTTTTTTAAAGATTTTAGTTATTGGGGCACCTGGGTGGCTCAGTCGTTAAGTGTCTGCCTTTGGCTCAGGTCATGATCCCAGGGTCCTGGGATCAAGCCCCGCATTGGGCTCCCTGCTCTGTGGGAAGCCTACTTCTCCTTTTCCCACTCCCCCTGCTTGTGTTCCCTCTCTCACTGTGTCTCTCTCTGTCAAATAAATAAATAAAATCTTTAAAAAAAAATAATAAATAAAATAAAATAAAATTGCCTTCAGCGTTCATGGAAAATCTCCCATAAAAGTTTCATTGCTGTTTTAGATTGTATACAGTTACTAAAATAAGTATATGTAAAATATTTTTAATTTGGAAGTATATTCCTTTATTATATTTGTCTAAATCAGTTTCATTCTCAAGAGCTAAGATAGTGTGAATTTTAGTGAAATTTGTCCTACTTTTAGATGTGTATTACTGATGTATTTCTGTTAACTGTGCATTTCACCATGTTTCTTTTTTCTTTCTCTCTTTCTCTTTTTCTCAGCTAAATGTTGCCAGCTACCTACAGATGATCTGCTTGGCTGAGAACTTTAGAACTGATGTGAAGGACTTTGTAACATTGTTAACTGCAAATACTTGTGATATCAGAAAAAGTATCCTTTACTTACAATTCTGGATTAGAAGTGGAGGTGGATTTTTAGAAGAAAGGCCATTATCCCTTTGTCGTAAGTTGATCTGTTATAAAAGAAATTTCTACAGTGGGACCCTATGTTAAAGTACATGCTATACCAAAATGTCTGAAAGATTTTAAAATTTTTGAGCATAAACATATGTATAAACATACATATGTCAACTGTGTTGGTGAAAATTTTATAAACATTAAATGTGGGTAAATAGAGTTAAACTGCACACGGAACAAATTGTTATTTATAAATTTATTAGCATGCTTTCTTTTTTTATTTTTTAAGATTTTATTTATTTTAGAGAATGAGCATGTGCACAAGCGGGAGGGGCAAAAGGAGAGGGAGAGAGAATCTCAAGCAGACTCTGCTGAGCATAGAGCCCGACGTGGGGCTCAACTCTAAGCATCAAGAGTAGGATGCTTAACTGACTTAGCCACTCAGTTGCCTTGTAATCATAGTTTCTTATAAACAAATAGAATGATATTTAGCAACTAGCTTCCTTTTTTTACTTATTAAAAAACACTGGTGATTTTTCCATATATATATAAATTATTTTTATATGACTGTAAGTTCTCTTTTAGCTTCTTCAATAGTCTATAATTCTATTTTTCATAAGAACTTTATCATTTCAGAAATGTTTTATTTCTTATCGATCTTCAGTCATTGTTACCTAATTGAAGTCACAGACATTTATTGAGGACTTTCTCCATGCCAGGTCCTGTGTTTACATAAATAAGACATGGTTCCTTCCCTGAAGAAGTTCATAGTTTGTGGTTTTCATGCTCCATAGTCACAGTTCTGTAGTTACAGATCCTGCTCTGGGAAATACACAAATATTTAAATAAAACCAAGGTGAAGTTCTGTAATATTAATCCCCTGTCAAGTTTGTTTTTTCTTTGATCAGTTCAAAATTTTAATACGTTTTTCTTTTTCAGAGTAGCAATCATATATATTTAATTCATTGTGAACTTATATCTTTAACTGTTTCTTAGATGTAAATATGATAAATAAGAAATGGGAAATAACCTTTTATAAAAAACAAATTAGTAACTATTGCCATACTATTGGATATAAAATGCTATACCAGAAACTTTAAAAGATAATAAGTATAGCATTATTTCTTTTCTTGAAGATTTTTTTTTTTTTAAGGTTTTATTTATTTATTTGACAGAGAGACACAGCGAGAGAGGGAACACAAGCAGGGTGAGTGGGAGAGGGAGAAGCAGGCTTCCTGCTGAGCAGGGAGCCCTATGCGGGGCTCAATCCCAGGACCCTGGGACCATGACCTGAGCCGAAGGCAGACGCTTAACAACTGAGCCACCCAGGCACCCCTTTTCTTGAAGATTTTATATGCATTTTCTTTCTTTCTTAAAAAACACAGATACGTACTCATTGGAAATTCAAACAGTGCAGAAGTATATAAAATAAAAAGTAAAAGATTTTCCCCACTTCTTAAAGTTAGCCACTGTGAGAGCTTTATCTATGCATGTACAAATATCGCTACCTACTTATTTAGCAAAATTAACCAATACTATGTATATTGTTAATCAATTTGCTCTTTTTTACTTGAGAATTTATTGTTAGTACGTGCAATTCTAGCCCTCTATTTTTCACAGCTGCATGCTATTCCATAATAGGGAATGGATGTAACATAATTAACCATTACTTATTAGAGGAAATTGAGGTTTTCTTCAGTTTGTCATTAAACTATGCATTGAATATCTATACACATATCCTTTAGCACATCTGTGAGTACTGCTGTTGGAGAGAATTCTAGAAGTATTGTTGCTGGCCAAAGGCTAGAATACATTTTACATTCCGATAGGTATTGTCAGGTTGCCCTCCCAAAGATGATTGTCCTGATTTATGTTCCCATGAACAGTTTATGATGGCTTTTTGATGTATGCCTCTGAGAAAACTAGGTTACCAGTTGTTTTACTTTTGCCAATTTAAAAGGTGAAAAGCGGTATCTTATTTTAATTTGCATTTCCATGATCACTAGTGAAATCGCACATCTTTTTATGAGTTTATTAGATATTTGTTTTTCTTCTGTGACTTGTCTGTTCATAGTCCTTTGCACTTTTTTCTTTTGGATTGTTTTATAAGCCCACCACCAACCTCTTACCCCCGTATGCTAAAAATAATGTTTGTATTGTAATTTTTATGAGTTAAATACATATGTGGAGAAGAACAAAATGGGAGTATAGGTCCAAAAGATGCCAGAGGATCTTAGATTTTAAATAATTGTTTGATACAATTTATTAAAAATATAGATGGTTTTCTTTTATTAATTTTGTAGGAGGAACTAGCAGAAACATTCAACTTGTTTGCTCTGAAGATGGCCCTGATTCCAAAAATAAACCTAAAAATACTAAAAGGAGTCCTATAGACCTTCCCAAATGTGACACTGGCTGTGTTGAGACCTTGTTTGGCCTTAAGAACATTTTTTCCCCATCTGAAGATTTATTTTCATTTCTAAAGGTATTTTCAGTATCTAGTGTGGGATATCAAATACGTATTCCTTTTCATATTCCTAACACTCCCATCTTTTGAATCTTAAGGTTAACTTAAATTTGCCTGTAATTTTTATAGGCTTTAGATTTCTGATTTTAGCATACTGTACAATTTGACAAATGGTGCAGCGACAAATAAATGTATATTATAGGATTTAGACTAGAATTTAGAAAGATTTCAGATTAAAAAGACAATTTCAGAAAAGTAGTTTTTAAACAAATGAGCTTCTCACTATTGAATTGGGGTATAAACTATTAGAAAATTTAATTCTTCAAATATAAATAGTCTAAGTTTATTTTTTAGACTCAGAACCATTTTGATGAATTTAGGGAGTACAGGTTAATAAAATTCTGAGAGGTTAGTGACTCATTACTTTTCAGATAGACTAAGGATGCCACTGTATTCATATAGGTAGAAAAGTGTTCAGACTGTGTTCTAACACTTCTTCACTTAAAATTGTTTTTCAGCACAAAGTCAGAACAAAGGAAGAATGGCATCAGTTCATCCAGCTTCTTACAGAATTCCGAATGCAGAATGTAGATTTCTTATATAGTAATCTTGAGTTCATTCTACCACTACCTGTTAGGATCATTCCAGAAACAGAAAACTTTGGTGGTGCATCAGTAAGTGTGGACACTAGTGCAGCAACAAAAAATATGAAATGTCTTGCTAGGAAACATTCTGAAGGAGAGAAGCCATCGAAAAAGCCACAAAAAAAGAAACAAAAGAAAAAGATGGTAACTCTAGATGATAGTGACTTATTTGACACTGAATTGGACTTCTCTAATGAATTTCTTAGTCTTTCCCCTGCACCTTCCTCCTCAAATTCAGAAGAAAGCAAAGCGAGAGACAAAGAAAGGAATCCAGAGACAAAGAAACTGAACAAATGTTTAGAGTCTAACATGGAATCTATTCCTTGTTCTCCTAAAACACCAGCAGAAGAGAAATGTTCTGCCCTTGTTTCTCACTGTTTAAATTCTCTCACTGAGTTCATGGATAACATGTCCTTCTTAGATGCTCTTTTAACTGATGTAGGAGAACAAAAGGAATTTGGTCAAAATGACTTCAGTTGGACAAATGTGAAAAGCGGACTTTGTGATGAGTTTAGTCTGGAGGCCAGTGATGGATGGACTTCTCAGAGCTCTGGAGAATTAAAGGCAGCTGTAGAAGCTCTCAGCTTTACTAAATGTTCGTCTACTATTTCAAAAGCACTGGAAACCTCCTTGAATTCTTGCAAGAAATCAGGAAGAGATCCAACGAAAGAGCTTACTCTTTATGTTTCACAGAAGCGCAGCAATGTATACTTTAGTCAGTCAGCAACTAATTTAGAGTAAGTCTTCCTTTTACTTTTAATTTTCCAATAATAAATGATAAAGAGGAAATGATTAGTTTGTTTTTACTAAATTTGAAATGCTGGGCTTTATTGATCATGGTAAACCCTCAATATTAATAATATAGCTTCTGATAAGACAGGGAGACCAGCCTGATTGCTGGGAAGAAAAACAAGAGAGATTAGGAGACTCCTGAATGACAGGGAATGGGGTTTGGGTTTGCTGGGGCAGATAGCGGGTAGCCATTAAAGATTTTTTTGGTATGGGAGTGACGTGTTGAAAGTAATACAGGAAGTTAACCTGGAATCCGGTTAACCTAGTCTAGACCAGAAGCAAGGAGAAGCAGAGACCAGAAGTTGGTTGTGTTGGGGATTGTTGCATTTTTCTTGGGCAGTAAAAATCAAAAGTAATGCACTACTTTTCATTTACAGCAGTGCCTGGAAGAGGATAGCAGTCATTAAAAGTGTATTTTCTAGCCGATCCCTTCTGAACCTGGGTAACAGACAAGCTAGTATAATTGAGTACTTGCCAACTCTTCGGAACATTTGTAGGACTGAGAAGCTAAAAGAACAAGGAAAAAGTAAAAGAAGGTAAAGGCTCTATATAAAATAACGTTGTAGATAGCTATTTCAAGATTAATAAATATCCTCATCTGATGGTTAAACTGAATTTTTCCTTGTAATTTTGACAGGTTCCTACACTATCTTGAAGGTATTCATCTTAACATTTCGAAAGAGACTGTGAACACTTTGGCAGCTGGCTTCCCTTAATATTCCACATTAACAATGCCTTGTACAGATTATTATGTGTTCCTCAAGATACATTTTTATACTGATTTTCATGGAAGAATTTCTTTCTCTTAATGTACATTTAAAAGAGATTATTTGTATTTTTTTAATTAGTGTGCAAATATTTAAAATGAAAAATTTTGAGTTATAAATTGTATTTATGATTGTGGTGGTATTTTTTTTTCTGAATTTTTTTGGTATTATTTGACTTAGCTTTGTTGTATTATTGCATGTGAGCGAGCTGTTTCTAGAAGGTAGAATTCACTATATTTCTAAAGATGTTTCACTGTTAAATTAATCCATAATTTTTCTCTTTCCTGTTACCTTTAATCCACTTCTCTCCAACCCAACTGTCAGTACTCTGTCAAGTTGTATATATGAATCATCTAGGGTGGTAATCTAGTTAACACAGTACAAAATTATGTAATACATGAGAACTTCCTAGGGAAGAAATTATATTTCATTTTTCAAAAAGTACCATCTTCCTGATAAATTTATTTTTAGTGTATTCCTCCAGCACATATTGCCATTGAATCATTGAATGTTGACAAAGGGAAAACAAAATTATGAACTGTCGTTTTCATAAATCTTTTTTAGCAACCATTCATATGTGATTGCTTGTACATTTTGCCAACTCACATCATTTGCCTTGTACATTTTTCTTGTACTTTTATATCAGCGATGTTTTATTTCATAAAGATATTAATGATGTTAATATATCTATTTTGGACAAACTGCTATTCATTAAAATTGTAACAGAGGATTCTACTATGGACTTTCTACATCATAATCATTTCCACTTAAGGTTGTTTTTGGAGAAAGTATGTATTTTTAATTACAAGATTTTAAAATCCCACATTTCACTTAAAATCATTTTTGCAATCATATAATCAGATATATCTGAAAATGGTTTCCTATTTCAAATGTTTATATTATGTATTAGCCTAGAATTCAGTTACATTATCTGGCAAATTATATATTTACCTCAAAGGTAAGCATCCTAATTTTGTACAGATGGAAAATATTGATGTATACCTGTTTACAAATGTGTATGAAGGTATGTTTTTACCTCTTACTTGCTCAGTCTACTTTTTCGTTGATAGTATATTGACTTAATTAAAGGTTAAAGCTAAAAGACTTAATGCAATATTTAAATAGGTGGTCCAGATGTAACCATCTGGGTAAATATGGATATTTTATAGGTTTGGATATAGGCTGTATCTTACAGGTTTCATCCTTGTACAAAAGAATAGATCTGAAGTTCTGTGGGTTTTTTTTTTAAATATATGGATTTTCTTCTATTCTATTCTATAACGCATACCTAGCGTTCACTATTTGTAGAGCACTTACCTGTTAATTTGGTCTTATTATTAGAAAATTCTGGTAATAGAGAATCAAAGTAAAATAACTTTAGAATTGGGGCGCCTGGGTGGCCCAGTTGTTAAGCATCTGCCTTTGGCTCAGGTCATCCAGGGTCCTGGGATCGAGCCCCACCTTGGGCTCCCTGCTCAGCGGAGGCCTGCTTCTCCCTCTCCTGCTCCCCCTGCTTGTGTTCCCTCTCTTGCTGTGTCTCTGTCAAATAAATAAATAAAATCTTTAAAATAAAAAAATAATAACTTTAGGATTTTATTTAGTAAAATCAAAAATCAAGAAACAGGGGCACCTGGGTGGCTCAGTCGTTAAGTGTCTGCCTTTGGCTCGGGTCATGATCCCAGGGTCCTGGGATCGAGCCCCACATCGGGATCCCTGCTCTGCAGGAATCCTGCTTCTCCCTCTCCCACTCCCCCTGCTTGTGTTCCCTCTCTCGCTGTGTCTCTCTCTGTCAAATAAATAAATAAAATCTTAAAAAAAAAAAAATCAAGAAACAATGGGAATATTTTCTTCCCTAATAGGGACACATTTAAGATTTTCTTTTAGGCTTAGCTTTATTGGGGAGGAAATATATATATATATATATATATATATATATATATATATTTTTTTTTTTTTTTAAGATTTATTTGACAGAAAGAGAACATGAGCAGGGTCATCAGCAGAGGGAGAGGGAGAAGCAGGCTCCCGGCTAAGTAGGGAGCCCAATGTGGGACTCCATTCCAGGATCATGACCTGAGCCGAAGGCAGACACTTAACCTACTGAGCCACCCAGGTGCCCCAAAGATTTATTTTAGAGAGAGAGAGAGCACAAACGGGAAGGGCAGGGAGAGGGAGAGAGAATCTCAAGGACCTAGACTCCACCCTGAGCCAGAGTGCAGAGCCCAAAGTGGGGCTCAATCTCATGACCCTGAGATCACAAGATCATGAGCTGAAACCAGGAGTCAGATGCTTAACTGAGTGTACCACCCGGGCACCCCAAAAATTATGAATTCTTAAAGGTTTAGATTCACTTTTGAGATAAAGTAAGCAAATTCTGATGGCTTTCTCAGTACTTAGCATCTTACCCTATAAATGTCTAAAATGAACACATTTTCACTGAAAGCTATTTCCAGAAATATGTGGGAGGTAGAATGCACATATCTGGCATGAACAACTGGATGGTTGGTGAAGCTATTTACCAAAGTATAGAACAATGGCAAGGGACGTGATTTGAAGGAAAGATTATTTGAGATGGATAGTTTGAGATACCTACAACATATGGAAGGTGGAGATGTTTGTGTACAACCATATATATAAATGTAGAGATTTACAAGTGAATGGCAGTAAGTCTAGACTGTATCCCAGATTCCCTAGGGAGTTGGGAGGTTCTGGAAGAAAGGACTTCTACTCATTTTACATATTTGAATGTTTTTCCAACAAGCATATTTCACTCTGTAGATTAAAGGAAAGACGTAATGCTTTGACATCAAAGAGTTTTGGGTTCAGGACTGGTAAGATATGGTGAGGGCCTGAACTAAAGCAAATGTAATACTGGAAAATGTGAGATGTGGTAAAAAAAATTATGGGCTACTTTTCTCAAAAGATGGTCTGTCTAGGGGCATCTGGGTGGTGTAGTCGGTTAAGGGCCTGACTCTTGGTTTCTGCTCAGGTCATGATCTCAGGGTCCTGGGGTGAAGCCCTGCATCGGGCTCTGTACCCATGGTGAAGTCTGCTTGGGATTCTCCCTTCTTCCTCTGCCCCTCCCCCAGCATACTTATTCTCTCTCTCAAATAAATCTTTTTTATTTTTATTATTTTTTTAAGATTTTATTTACTTATTTGAGAGAGAGAGAATGAGAGAGAGCACATGAGAGGGGGGAGGGTCAGAGGGAGAAGCAGACTCCCTGCCGAGCAGGGAGCCCGATGCGGGACTCGATCCAGGGACTCCAGGACCATGACCTGAGCCAAAGGCAGTCGCTCAACCAACTGAGCCACCCAGGCGCCCATCAAATAAATCTTTTTTAAAAAGATGGTCTGTCCCACATGAAAAAGTGCTCAATATCGCTTGGCATCAGGGAAATCCAAATCAAAACCTCAATGATACCACCTCACACCAGTCAGAATGGCTAAAATTAACAAGTCAGGAAGCGACAGATGTTGGCGGGGATGCGGAGAAAGGGGAACCCTCCTACACTGTTGGTGGGAATGCAAGCTGGTGCAGCCACTCTGGAAAACAGTATGGAGGTTCCTCAAAAAGTTGAAAATAGAGCTACCATATGATCCAGCAATTGCACTACTGGGTATTTACCCCAAAGACACAAATGTAGGGATCCGAAAGGGTACGTGCACCCCGATGTTTATAGCAGCAATGTCCACAATAGCCAAACTGTGGAAAGAGCCAAGATGTCCATCGACAGATGAATGGATAAAGAAGATGTGGTATATATACACAATGGAATATTATGCAGCCATCAAAAGGAATGAGATCTTGCCATTTGCAACGACGTGGATGGAACTGGAGGGTATTATGTTGAGCGAAATAAGTAAAAAAGAGAAAGACATGTATCATATGACCTCACTGATATGAGGAAATGACCTCACTGATATGAGGAATTCTTAATCTCAGGAAACAAATTGAAGGTTGCTGGAGTGGGGGGTGGGGTGGGAGGGATGGGGTGACTGGGTGATAGACACTGGGGAGGGTATGTGCTCTGGTAAGCGCTGTGAATTGTGCAAGACTGTTGAATCTCAGATCTGTACCTCTGAAACAAATAATGCAATATATGTTAAGAAAAAAAAAAAAGGTAGCAGGAGGGGAAGAATGAAGGGGGGGAAATCGGAGGGGTAGACGAACCATGAGAGACGATGGACTCTGAGAAACAAACTGAGGGTTCTAGAGGGGAGGGGGGTGGGAGGATGGGTTAGCCTGGTAATGGGTATTGAGGAGGGCACATTCTGCATGGAGCACAGGGTGTTATGCACAAACAATGAATCATGGAACACTACATCTAAAACTAATGATGTAATGTATGGGGATTAACATAATAAAAAAATATATATAAAATACATCAAAAAAAATTTAAAAGATCTGTCCAAGTAAAATATTTCAAAGTGAAAAAAAAAATGTATTAGACAAAGCTTCTTTGTTCTGGGCTGATAGACTAAGTTGATGACAATCGATTCCCTTTTGGGAGCAATACATCAAACCACATGCTACTTAGAGAATTAAGAGGGTTTCATAAGTTGTGTTTTTGATTATATTTAGCATTATTCCCATGATGAGCACCACCCAGAAAAATCATTACTCTCTATTAACAATAAAAGGGTGCAAATCATTAGTATAGGATGGAATTTGCTTTTCAGGGGAGATAACTTTGTTTCTTGTTTTGGCTGTTTAGAGGGCATCTTTAACACTTAAACCCAAAAGGCACAGAATCTCCTAAGATATTTATTGATTTCGCTTATTATTGTGTGAACAATTCAACAACCGAAAGTCTGACTTTAAATACAAACATGTTTTCTTCTCCATAAACATGGATGTTAAAAACAGTTGGCTTTACAGCTTTAGGGCTAATAAATATAAATTAATACAACCTTGGAGCTCTTTATATTAACCTAAGCGTTTTAAGGTTCAGTGTCAAAAACTGCTAATTCATAGAAGGCAACAGCTTGTAATAATGAATCATATAACTCTTCTGCTCTCTGTTGTTCAGTAGATGAAAACATCTGTCTGTAATGGACGATCTTCTCTGTGGGGAAGACGACCCGAGGCTCTTCCTTCAGAACAGACTCTGAGAGGAACTGCTTCACCAGCTCTTTTCCACTAGTCCGCGTGTCCCCAATCATCAGTTCAAAGTGCTTCCCCACTCCATTTCGATTCATGCTCAGCACCTGATGCTGGCCATCCTGGACAAAGGTTTTGTTTAATAAGGCATACAGCATGGCTTCCATGATATGAAAATGTAACACTACTGGAAACCGAGATGAGTTCTGAATTGAAAGCCCGATTTTTTCCAGAACATAGAAGTCAGCTTTAGGCATCTTTGAAATGACTGAAGAAATCTTTAAAAAACAAAAAGAAAAAATAAGTGAACAGAAATAATTCATTAAGTTTTGTTGTTTGGGTCCCCTCTCCCATTTTTATTTTTAAAATATATAAATTACCTTATACTGCTACTGACAGTTTTGAAGTAACTGAAAAATCAGCATTTTATGGAGGAGTCAGGAGCCAAGTTCTGCTCATGGTTCTATCAGGAATAAGCTGAGCTAAGGCAGATCATTTAGTCCTCCCAAGTACTAGTTTCTTCATCTCACAAATGGGCTTCATTATCTCTAAAATCTGTATTGACTTTAAGATTAGACAACTTAAAACGTTTATTAACCTTTTAAAAATATCTAGGGTAGAGCA